CTGCTCCCCCTCTCCAAGCAGAAACAAGCTGTGATCCGCCTGGGAGTCTTGAAGCCTCCACCCAGCAGCACCTCCTCCAGCCTCTCGTACCAACACCTGGGCGCTTGCTAAGGCCATAGATGGCCTTCTTAAGCTTGCACACACGGATTGGTCCCATCTCATAGCCGTCGGGCTGCGCCATGTAGATATCCTCCAGAAGCACTCCATTGAGGAACGCAGTGGTGATATCCATCTGCTTCAGTGCTGCCATCCCTTCACAGCTGCGCCAGCCATCAAATTCCTCAATGTTACTGGCTTAGCACGGGAGCGAAGATCTCTCCAAAGTCGACCTTCTCCTCTGCTGAAAACCCTTGGCGACCCCCAAAGGACTCTTGAAACCGCTCCAACGCACAATCAGCTCCACTCTTCACCTTGAAGACCCACTTGCTGCTGATTGGCCGTCGCCCCTCGGGTAACTCAACAAATCCCAAGTCCCATTCTCAATGAGACTGTTGAACTCCGCATCCATGGCAGCCTTCCACTCCTCCTTCTGGGGGTCCACTGAGTGCCTCCTCCACTGTGGCTGGTTCTCCAGGCAAGGGTGTGGAAGAAAAGAACGCCATCTCCTCATCCTCTCCCTCACCGCCTGAACCGCCATGCACCTTGCTTGGGTCCTCCCAAAACGGCTATACTTCAGCCTTGAGGTGCTGCTGCACTCTCTTCTCACAGGTTACAGTCTGCTGCCCATGTGGTGAAGCTCCTCTCTGCACACTCCTCTTGGTGACCTTGGCGTTTGCAGCATAGGCTCGGGCTGAGATGGTGAGTCCACACGTGCCGACTCATCCTCCAACCCCTCCTCTCCAGCAGGACCAGAAACTTGCTGCTCACCACCGCCACTGTGGTCACTGGTCAGCTCTGACTCAGGGAGATCCTCAAGGTGCAGCTGAACCTCCTCCACTGCAGACCGCTCAATCTCCTGCAGACGCAAGCAATCTGCACCTGCTGCTGCTGCTGCCAGTCCTTGTACATGACGTCCTCCACAAACTTGACGTCACAGCTGACCAGCGACTTCTTGCTCTTGGGGTCCCACATCAGCCACCCTTCGAGTCAGGAGCCATCCCAGATGGACAGCCACACACAGCAGCAACTTCCAGCTTGTGCCTCTGCTCCTTAGGCACCATCACAAGCCCCATGCAGCCCCACACACGCAGCATGTCAATAGATGGCTTCTTCCCAAGCCAACGCTCGTACGGCACCCAATGCTTGTCGCCAACATGCGTCAAGACCCTGTTCTTGACCGTGATGACATGGCGAACGGCATCAGGCCAGAACTTGTAGGGCATCCCAGCAGCCCCCAACAAGGTCTTAGCCGCCTCGCCAATAGTCCGGTTGGCACGCTCAGCAATGCCGTTCTGCTGCGGTGTTCCAGGGCAGGTCAGCTGATGTCGGATGCCATTCTCTTGAGGAACTTTGGTGAATTCCGCTCCAAGGAACTCTCCACCTCGGTCGCTCCTCAGCACATTCACCAGCCGCATCGCTTTGCCGCTCCACCATCGGCAACCAATCCTCCTTGATCGCCGCTGCAGCATCGCTCTTCTTGGACAAGGGACGCGCCCACGTGAAAACGACTCCATTCGTCCACCATGGTAAGGAAGTACAGCACTCCCCAGTCCCACTCCCCAGCCCTCAGTCCTCATGGGACCCACCAGGTCCATGTGCACCACCTCCAATGGTGCCTTCGCTGATCCCTCCGCTCGTGGAACGGGAACCGCGCAAACTTGTTTTGCATGCACGCCTCGCAGCTGCCATAGTGAGTGCCATCTCCTTGCAGTTGCAGCCCATGCATGCACTTCTCCTTGTGCATCACCTCCAGTGTTGAAACAGCCACGTGTGCGAGCCGTCGATGCCAAGTCTCCCAATCCGCTTGGCCCGAGGTAGCCGACGCCTTCACCGCCGTGCTTCCTCCAATCAGCTCCTCTCCTTGCACACCTTGCTGCTCCTCCTCGGGACGCTCTCCTCCATAGATGCCGCCTGCGCCGCCTTGCCCGATTTCCGCAAGGGAGGACCGGGATCTGCCACATCCGCTTGTGGACATCCCCTTTCCACTGCAGGTCCCAAATCAGCCGCTCATCGTTGTAGGCATGATAGCGCTCCGAGCCAATCGTCTCGGTGTTCACACCCGCATCTCCCAATCGGCCGGTAGAAATCAGGTTCGCGCACAAGTCCGGCACCCACAGCACGTTCTTCAGCCCCACGAGCTCTCCATCCGCTCCCATGAACTTGGCGCATCCCATGCCCATGACCTTGGCCTTGGCGCCCGTCGCGGATGTGACTGTAGAGATGGGTGCGGGCTGAATCTCATCAAGTAGGTCCGCACGAGGAGTCATGTGCCATGTGCCAAGAGCTCCCGGAGTCAATCACCCAATGGGTGAGGGGGGTGTAGGAGAATCTTGGCAGCCATAGCATGGTCGGTTGCGCCTTCGTTCACGAAGAAGAAGAACCCGGCCTTCCGCTCCTCAGATTTGCCGCCTTTCTCCTCATCCTTCTCCTCTCCACTAGCTCCCATGACTCCCCCACTCCTCGTGCCACCACGCTGGTTGCTTGATGAAGGCGGGGTCCAATCCTTGGGTCGTTGGTAGCACTTCCGCCGACGATGTCCGCGCTTCTTGCAGTAGAAGCACACCTCCCCTTGACCCCCGCCGCCATCCTCCTTAGGGTTATCCTTGTTCTTGCCCTTCCACTTCTTCTTGAAGCCACTCTTTCCACCTCCAACTCCATAGCCAGCCCCCTCCTCCCGAGCGCTCCACACTCCGCCCGCCGCAAGTCCTCCTCTAGGATGCGCGCGCGAATGTAATCCACGCTCCATTGTGGTTGTTGGGAGTTGAGGTTGATCGCAAGGGCAGACCACGACTCCGGGAGCCGTATCACGATCTCCACGCATTGCACGAGCTCCGGGTACACCACACCGCCTCCTTGGAGCTTCGTGAAGATGTCACGCATCTCATCCAACACCGGTTGCATCGGCTCTCCATCAACGAACTTGATGTCGCGCAGCGCCGCGCGAGTAGCACGATGCCGGTAGCATGTGTCGGTGAGTGCACATCCAGAAGCTTCCTCCAAGCCTGGGAGCCACACTCTGGATCACCAAGAGGTCCTTGATGTGGTCAAGTTGTCGTCCGCCAACCGCTTGCACCATGAGCATGTACGCGTCGAACGATCGCTTCATCCACGCTCCTTTCAGCTCCGCGGCCTCCGGCATCTTCTCCTTCCCCTCCACCAAATCCAATAGCTTGTATTGGGTATACATCAGCCTCATGCGGAAACTCCAGTGCTCGTAGTCCTCCCCCATGAATTTCTCAATAGAGAAAGCTTTCACAGGATCCACGGTAGTAGGAGATGGTGTAGAAGAAGTAGGTAGCGTAGGGTTGGCTGGTTGGTGAGTCCCCACTCCTCCACCAGCAACTCCCCCCTGCTCTCCAGCCTCTCTACTTCTATCCATCTCGCCACTAGCACCTCCGGAGTTCGTACCAACCATATTGAGGCCTTATGAACGGTGGAAACTTGAGAAATCGTTTGGAGAGAATTCTGCCAGAAATTTCGATTCTACAAAAATCGCCGTCGCGGACTGGATACTTCGAATTTAAAACGCGGTTCGACCACCAATCGAAAGTTCGCGAGCAGAGCTACTAGAAATGGTCTCACTCGACAACATTGGTTGAGAATTTACGACGATTCGTCGTCTCAAAGTCGACTACCCGCTTTGATACCACTTGTTGTTCAGGATCCGTCACTTTGAGAGCTTACGACGAACTCATTACTCAACTAAACGCAAATCCGCTCAGTAGGAAGTTGCGCCTTAGGCTTAGCTACCATCTCTAAGTTGAATCATCCCTAAACCCTGGAGCTCGAGGCTCTGCCGCTGGAGGTATTTCTGCTGTCGTTCACTGGAGCTGGGAGTGTGTGCTGGTCCCGGAGGTGCTCGTACTGGAGGTACTGGAGCTGCTGGGGCTGGAGGTGCCTGCTGAGTCTGAGGGTGCTGCTGCTGGAGACCCTGGGTCTGGGGGTGCTGCTGCTGGAGACACTGAGGCTGGAGACCCTGGACTGGAGGTGCTGATTCTGGGGGTGCTGCTGCTGGTGGAGCTGGTCCTGGAGGAGCTGGCGCTGAGGGTTCTGGAGTTGTTGGAGGTGCTGGAGCTGCTGGGGGTGCTGGAGCTGCTGGTCCTGGTGGCACTGCACAGCCGCGCCTGTTCTTCGCTCCACCGTCTCCGTCGTCTCAGCCACCGCCTGACTCTGTGCTTCGCCAGGTTCTTAGTCGCCCTTCGTCTACTGGTCTTCCATTACAGCCTGGCTCACCGCTGCATGCTCCTTCTCCTTACACTGAGCAGACAGGGGGTTTTGCTGAGCGTCGTGAGCCTGCGTCGCGTCCTGTCTCGCCTGTCCGTTCTCGTAGTTCTGGTCGTCGTGTTCCTCGTTCGCGTCAGCCGGCTGTCCCCGGCACTCACCTCGTAGTTCGACGTCCTTCCTCTCCTCCGCAGCGTGTTGTTGTTCAGGATCCGTCACTTTGAGAGCTTACGACGATTCATTACTCAACTAAACGCAAATCCGCTCGGTAGGAAGTTGCGCCTTAGGCTTAGCTACCATCTCCAAGTTGAATCAGTCGTTAAGATGGTCTATAGAGTGAGAACCAAGTAAAAACGTCCAGCAGCCGCATGACTAGTATGGTGGAGGAAGTACAAGCATTAAGGAATAGAAAGTTGGAGTTGGGAACCTCCAAGAGAACCATGAGAGGGATGGGGTTCTCCAAGAGCTAGGGAAGGATGGTAGGAACCTTCCCTAGCAGCAAGGATGCAACCCTCATCATGAGGTCCTTGAGGTGTCACATGCAAAATCCAATCTAGTTGGATTTTGCCTAGGTGTTGCAACATTTGCAACCCATGCTAGAAACTTCTAGCCACCCCAATCCAAAAGTCAAAGTTGCCTTCCTAACCACCCAACCAAAAATCCCTTTATAGTCATGTCCCAAGTAATCACCCAAATTAGATATAACCCTAAAAGGTAATAAGAAATCCAAATCTTGGAAATCTTGTAACTTGGGCGATCTTGGTCGGAATAAGGCGATCTTGGTGTCGTTGGAAAGCTCTGGATTTCTCCTGCATGATCAAGCATTTAGACTTGGAGAAAAACACAGAGATGATAATGTCCAACAGCCATGCACAATGACATACGCTCATGCAAATAATGCACGCATGAAAAGCACGAGCACTCAGCAGGACGTTAGGATGACATGCACTCAGAATGACGTGCATCCAACACGTGTTCCCCTGCCGTCCCCTCCTGCGTCTTCTCTGCCTACCGTTCTTGAGCCTGGGTCTGACCGCACCCGTGCTGCTCACTCTACTGTCACGCGTCTGCCTTTGTTGCTGAGCTTGTTGACTTTGCTGCTGCCTGTCGTCTAGACTACGCCGCTAGTCTTGTTGCTGAGTCTGAGTCTGTCTGTCCTCCGTCCGTCGGGGGTGAGTGCGCTCTTGGCACGGACGTCCTTGAGGACAGGCATGAGGACCTTGAGTGTCTTGCAGCCGCTGCGCCTCATCTCGTGTCCATGCTGCTTGCCCCTGAGGGAGACCCGGATGCTCCAGGACATCCCGAACCCCGCGCCCTTACGCTGAGGCGATCGCGGGTGAGTACTCCTCTCAGTGGCAGACAGCCATGGACGCAGAGATGGCATCCTGGAAGTCCATAGGCACCTACGTCGACGAGGTTCCCCCTCCTGGGGCGAACATCGTCAGTGGCATGTGGATTTTCAGGGTGAAGCGGCCGCCAGGTTCTCCGCCTGTCTTCAAGGCTCGTTACGTTGCTCGAGGTTTCAGTCAGCGAGAGGGAGTAGACTTCTTTCAGACCTTCTCCCCCACCCCGAAGATGACCACTCTTCGGGTGCTGCTGCACGTTGCCGCTCAGCGTGACTACGAGCTTCACTCTCTTGACTTCGGCACAGCTTTCTTACAGGGCAGCCTGCACGAGGAGATCTGGCTGCGCCGCCCTCCTGGCTTCACTGGGTCGTTCCCTCCTGGTACCCAGTGGAGCCTCCGGCGGCCAGTCTATGGTCTCCGCCAGGCACCACGTGAGTGGCACGACACACTGAGGACTACACTTGCGGCTCTTGGGTTTGCTCCGTCGACTGCTGACCCGTCGCTGTTTCTGCGCACCGACACGTCGTTGCCGCCGTTCTACATCCTCGTGTATGTCGACGACTTGGTCTTTGCCACTGCTGACACTGAGGCTCTCGCCCTGGTGAAGTCGGAGCTGCAGAAGAGACACACGTGCACAGATCTGGGTGAGCTGCGCAGCTACCTTAGCTTGCAGATCACCCAGGACAGAGCACGCCGCACCATCACACTGACTCAGTCACACATGGTGCAGCAGGTCCTTCAGCGCTTCGGATTCACCTGGTCCTCACCACAGCGCACTCCTTTGCGGGGAAACCACCACGTGTTGCGACAGCTTCGGGTAGTAGAACGAAGTCATGATGCCGGATTTCCCGAGAAAGACTATATCCGGCCGGGCCACTCTCTCTCAGCTCCACCTTCGGACGAGTCCGTAGAGCCGAGTGGCCCGTACCCAAAGCTAGTGGGCTGCCTCATGTACCTGCTGACCTGCACTCGACCTGACCTTGCGTACCCTCTTGGCCTTCTGGCCCGCTACGTGGCTCCTGGTAGGCACCGAAAGAAGCACATGGATGCTGCGAAGAGGGTACTGCGCTACTTGTGCAGTACATCAGGCATGGGGCTCGTGCTTGGAGGGCGGAGCCCAGTTGTCCTCACTGAGCACTCGGACGCTTCTTGGGTTGACGACCTGGCTACGCAGCGGTCGTCACAGGGTTACACCTTCAGCCTTGGCTCTGGTTCAGTTTCCTGGCGTTCTACACGCTCGTCTTCAGTTCTCAGCTCCAGTTGTGAGGCTGAGATCTACGCCACAGCCATGGCTGCACAGGAGTTACGCTGGCTCACCTACCTGTTGACCGACCTGGGAGAGCGGCCTTGTTCTCCTCCAGTTCTGTACGTAAACAACAAGGCCGCCATTGCCTTGTGTCAGGAGCACAGACTGGAGCACAGAACGAAGCACATCGCTCTGCGTTACCTCCTGGCTCGAGAGTTGCAACAGCGGGGTCAGCTTCGCCTTGCTCACGTGGCCACTCGGGCCAACACTGCTGATATATTCACCAAGGCACTTCCGTCTGGTGACCATCAGCGCTTTTGTACTTTCTTGGGCCTTGTGCCTACGTTTCCACACTTGCTGTAGTCTCTGCTTGTACTGTGATCTATATATATATACCTGCATGCTTGCTCTTGCTAGATAGAGATCACTGTGCTGTTCTTGTTGCATATATACCTCTGCATGTGGACTGGCCTTGTGGCCGTTTGCTTGTGCTCAGAGTGTGTGGTGACGTTGTGATCCACCCTGAGCTGTGTTTTGTTTCTTCTCTTGACTGGTCTTGTGACCATTGCTTGCTCTGGCTATCCCCCATTTTGTCTATGGAGGTGTGTCAAAACAGATGCATAAAACTATCTAGGCTATATTGGGGCTAGCCTTAGGGGGTACAGAAATATTCTCGACACTCTAGTTTTGTACCCCACTCTTGACCTAATCACACCATTCATGCCTTAGTCTCTAACACCTTTTTACTTTGGATTGTCCTGAACCTCCTTTGCCATCGAAACATACAAACCACTCATCCGAAGCGCGCGCAACCTGACGGATGATGCTCAGGTTTGCGTGCGCCGCGGATGAAAATGCGGGAAAGTGGATGCGGAGCTGACTTGTTGACGTCATAAACCAATCTCGCCAAGGAACCATCCTCACGGAACTCCTAACAAAACGTGCGAAGCTGCCTTGGGAACAAGCTGACGACAACTGTGCGACCCGAACGAAAAAGCATCGCTTAGTTCGCGCGCGCCATCTATCCAGCAGTGACACGCTACAGTAGCAGGGGCAAGGAGCGGATGAAATTGCCACATCAGCAGCACATCGAATAGGGACTTCCCTTGACGACAAATTAACGAGCCACCCAATACGCTGCCAGGAGCAGCGTGCTACACTGTACTGGATGCGAATCTCTCCACCACAGCGATGCCAAAGGAACCATCCCAAGTGGGCAGGAGATAAGAAGCTGCCTTGGGACTGTGCTGACGACAACTGAGCGACCGAAAATCACCGCTCAGTTCCGCGCCAAAATCCAGCAGTGACACGCTGGCAGGAGCAAAAAAATCTACTGCGCCAATGAAATCGATCGTCCCCAGTGGGGTCACCCCACATCAGCATTGAATATGCACTTTGGCTGACGACAAACGAGCGACCCTTCTAAGTTGAATAGTGACACGCTGCCATAAGCAGGGTGCCATACTGTACCGTATCCGCCACATCCGCCATGCTGTATTCTCCACGCAATTGTTCTGTCTTTACACTGTTTCCCGTTCCTTCAGGAGCTCCACAGTCGGTGTGTGGTAGGTGGCGGTTCAAAGCGACGAAGTGAAGTGTTTCACTTTTATAAATATTTCTTTTCAATCTCCGTGTTTACTCGATGCACAGAATGAACTGAATGTGATACTATTGGACTCTAGCAGGTAAACCTAGGCACATGTTCGCCTGCGGATTTCTCAAGTCATTCGGATTTCCCTCTTGGTTCCGTTGAGACATTCCGCGTCAAGTTCTGAACGGAACGTTGGAGAGGTGGGAAACGGTTTGAAGCGGTGAACTGACAGAACCGCTCAAAAGCTTACAATACCGTGCTGAAACGCGGAATATCGAACAGAAAGCAAGCAGTTGCACCACGCTTGAGAAGAAAATATCAGGGGAAATAGTGACCATGGAATGCTGACATGCTTTGTGTGAGAAGAAAATATCAGAGCAGTCAGCAGCAAGGACATGAGATAGTGTCCATACTAAGCAAGAGGAAATAGTGTTCATAGTAAGCAAGTGAAGGAATCAGTCAAGGAGTCAACGAACTCCTGAATTACGTAACACGACAGAATTTCTCTTACGATTCACGGCCACTCAAAGGCGCTTGCCGAATCGCTCGTCGATGGTTACGCTTCTCCCGCATCGGCACTTCCGCGTTTTGTTCTTCCGCAGAAGTTACTGGTTTCTTTGGAATATCGTGTGACCATTATCGTAAAATAACGTACCTGTCGCGTTTAGCTATGGCGGCGGCTGCGGTGCTGCCAGCACCCACGCAGTGCAAAGCGGCTCGAGCCGTGGTGGCGGTAATGGAAGCGTACCGCGACGCGCGCGTGCAGTTCGTCATGAAAGTTGGCGAACTCGCGGTTTCTTCTCAGGTGCACCTTAATCTCAGTGTCTCTCAGCATCCGAGCTTCGATCTGCGAATTCATGGCGTATTCATGGCGAATTTCAGGCGAATTCATGGCGATTTCATGGCAAATTCGTGTCGAATTCATGGCGAATTCATGGTGCTGCTGGGTGAGGTTCATTCTTTGCGTGTCGCCAGCTCTATTGACTTCGAATGCGCTGTCCGCCCGCGTTTCTTCCCCGGCAGAACGCGGAGGCGCTGCTGTCGCTTGGCGCGCTGCAGCTGTTGCTGCCGCTCGCGCAGGACAGCATGGCGTCCGTGCGATCCGCTGCGACGCTGTCGCTGGGTCGCCTGGCGAATGTGTCGCATACGTGGTCGCACCACCTCGTGCAGCGCAACGTGCTGCCGTCGCTCTGCAAAGCGCTCACGTCAGTCCTCCTCTTACTGAATCTATTCGAATGTGTTTTTAGAATTCGGGGATTTGCCCGGCCAGTTGATCTCTCTGCAAGCCTCTCACGTCAGTCCTCCTGCTTTGTCAATCGTTTCGTCACGTCACACCACGTCACGGTGCCTTGAATGTTTCATTTCCGGCGGTTCTCCTGCCACGTGCCACTCACGAGTGCGTCGCAACATGCTGGCTTCTTCATGCGAAGCACTCTCGTCGTTTCGTTCATCTTTCTCTCCCTCCAACCCCGCGACTTCCCCTCTCCTCTCCCTCCACCTCTCGTCTTCCCCTCTCCTCTCCCTCCACCTCTCGTCTTCCCCTCTCTTCTCCCTCTACCCCCAGCGGCACCAATCGCCACCACAAGCGCGCAGCAGCATATCTAGTCAAGGCCGTGTCGCGCCACGCTGGCGCTGAGCTGGCAGAGGCGGGCGTGCTGCCGTTGCTGACGGAGTGCCTTCTGGATGCCATGCTGGCGGTGCGGGAGACTGCTGCGTGCGCATTGGGCCACGTGGCGAAGCACAGCGGTGACCTGGCGATGAGAGTGGTTGAGACGGGTGCAGTGCGGTTGCTGGTGACATGCCTTCAGGTGGGGTTCACAACAGCATTGGGACCTGGTCAGCAGTAACTCATGCCCTCGTTCATGAATGACCTGCTCTTTCAAAAGGCTCATGCTTGTGCCAGACATTGCCTTTCTCATGCTCTCATTACCTCTCCACACGTCCAGCTTTCTGCCCTTTGCCCTTTCATCTCATGTCCTCAAATATATTGTCCCCATATCCCGTGTTCCCATACCTCTCATCTCCCATATCCCATCTCCCCATGTCTCATATCCTTATACCTCATGGCAGGACGAGGCTGTAGCGCGGATAGCCCTCTCAGTGCTGAGTGACGTGGCACGCCACTCGCTGCTGCATGCTACAGCCGTGGCCGATGCGGGCGGCATTACCGCCGCCGTCTCTCTGTTGGGATCACCTGACGTCAAGACAAGGCGTCAGGTGCTGTTCTCATATGCCTGTTGTTTTGAACGACTCGAACCTCGTCCCATGTATCCCATTGCCCACTCCCCGAACCCCTCTGTGATCACGGCTCCTTCTGTTCTGCACCACCACGCTTGCACCTTCCTTCCTTCTAACCCTGCACGTGCCCTTCACTTCTCTCTGTGCGCGACGTTTGCTCCTGCCCTCTTCTACACAAACGCTTAACTTTTGCATCTCCACGCACCCTTCTGCAGCTTTTTTAACCGCTCTGCACCCTTGTGCCCCTTTCTGCTTCCCCTGTCTCCCACCCATCTGCACCCCTCTGCACCCCTTACAGGTCTGCGTCTGCCTTTCTACCATCGCCAGGCACTCTGAATCCCTCGCCCTGGTAAGCACTGCTCCTAACTTCCAAACCGTTCTGAACCGCCCTGAACTGCTCTCAGTCCCTCGCCCTGGTAAGCACTGCTCCTAACTTCGCAAGCCGTTCTGAAACTTCCAGAACGTTCTGAACCGCTCTAAGCCGTTAACCTTGGTACAGCATAGCCTCCTGTCTTCCGGCACGACTCGTTCCCCTTACTCATTCCAACCCTTCTCTACCCACCCGTCTCCCCCAATCCCTCTTTCCCCTCCCCCCCTCTTCCCATCCCCCTCTCCCGTTCCTCCTGTCCACTTTCCCCTCTGTCCTTAAAATACCCCGCAGCAAGTGTTGGACCAACCAGGAGCATCTCGCCTGCTGCTCTGCCTGCACGACTCATCCCCTTCCCTGCGGGCGTCAGCAGCAGCGGCGGTGAGGGAGGTGGCGAGGCAGGGACCGGCAGCAGCAGGCCGGCTGGTGGGCATGGGGGGCATTGGGCCGCTGCTGGATGCTGTAGGCACGTGGAGGGACGAAGGGGAGGGGGAGGGCATGACCAAAGGCTCCGCCAAGGTTTCAGGTCAGTGACTTCAGGCCAAAGGCTTGCGCTTCCCTTGTGTTCTCTCTGGAATCTCTTTGCACTCTCCCTAGGGGCATCAGCAGCAGCGACGGAGAGGAAAGGGCAGCAGCAGGCAGGCTGGTGGGCATGGGGGGCATCGGGCCGCTGCTGGATGCTGTGGGCACGTGGAGGGATGCAGGGGAAGGGGAGGGAGCAGGGGAGGGGAAGGGGATGACGAGAGGCTCTGGTAAAGTTTCAGGTCGGTAACTGATGTTTTTTTTTAATCCCTTTTTGTGGCCTCTTTTCGATCTGTTTGTGGTTGTCCTGTTCCATCTCCTTTATGTCCTGTTTGTGCAATGCTGCGACCGACCGTCATGTTGCTTTCTTCCTTTGTCACGCATTGCCTTTAGACCCTCCATGCACTTTCTCGCAGAAGGCACTCACTCGCACAATCCAATTTCCAGCCACACACACACTCACATACCCCTCCTCATTCCCCACCCACCACCATACCACTCCCCTCCATCTCCCAGTGGTGGTGGCCCTCGGCTTCCTCGCAGCTTCCTCCCCCGATGCAGCGCTGGCAGTGGTGGCATCGGACGGCATATCCCCGCTGCAGGATCTCATAGTGGAGGGCGACGCTGACGTCACCCTCAAAGGGGCCTGCGCGTGGGCGCTCTCCCAGATGGCTTCCCATGGGTGAGCGTGGGTGAGGACGAGTGGGGATGGGTGAGGATGGTGAGGATGGGTGAGGATGCATAGGGAGGGGTAAGGTTCGGTTCATGTTGGATAGGGGTATGTTACTGGCAGATTTATGTAACACGTGGTCATAGCATCCAACAATGTGCTTTCGTGATCCTTTCTTCTCTTGCACTTTCTACCTTTCTGCTCTGTTCCCTTGGCACATGCCAGTCCCAGCCATGCCAATCCCGTGGCAGGCAGTGGGGTGCGGGCTGCCATAGTAACAGCATCCACAGGTTAATGACATTGTTCTTTCTCTTCCCTTTCACTCCCTACCCATATTCTCTGTCTCCTTCACACGTGCCAGTCCCAACCATGCCAATCCCGTGGCAGGCAGTGGGGTGCGGGCTGCCATAGTAACAGCATCCACAGGTTAATGACATTGTTCTTTCTCTTCCCTTTCACTCCCTACCCATATTCTCTGTCTCCTTCACACGTGCCAGTCCCAACCATGCCAATCCCGTGGCAGGCAGTGGGGTGCGGGCTGCCATAGTAACAGCATCCACAGGTTAATGACATTGTTCTTTCTCTTCCCTTTCACTCCCTACCCATATTCTCTGTCTCCTTCACACGTGCCAGTCCCAGCCATGCCAATCCCGTGGCAGGCAGTGGGGTGCGGGCTGCCATAGTAACAGCATCCACAGGTTAATGACATTGTTCTTTCTCTTCCCTTTCACTCCCTACCCATATTCTCTGTCTCCTTCACACATGTCAGTCCCAGCCACGCCAAGGCCGTGGCAGACAGTGGGGTGTTGATCGACATGGTAACAGCAGCCACCGTTCACCTCCCTGCTCCCGAACCTGTTGCCGGGCCTGCCGCTGCTGCTATGGCGGATGGTGCGGAGGCTCGGAAGCGCTTGGTGCAGGCAGTGAAGGATGTGGTGGTTCGGGTGAATGACATCGAAGCGCTTGATGCGCTGCTGCAGGTACATCGCAGCTGCTTCAGCTCATTGCAAGAGGTGATGCTTTTTTTGTTGACTCGAAAATCACCCCAAGCTCCTGATGCACTGCTGCAGGTACATTGCTATATTGCAAGCACACACCTTCTCTGTCCTTCTCCACATGCTTTCATCCTCCAATGTTGCATCCACTTACCATTCACCTCACGCTTCCCACTACTTCCAAGTGTCCCCTCCCCACATTCCATTCTCTGCCCCGTGTCCTTCCTCTTCTCCCTTCCCCTTTTCTCCTCCCCTCCCCTCTCCCCCCTCCCCTCCTCCGCTGCTCCCATACAGTGGACTAAGCTGCCGGACGGCATACTGGAGTCTGTCCTGCATCGCATGTCTGTAGTGCTCGCTAAAGACAATGCCTGCCGCCCAGCCTTCCTCGCGTCGAACGGCTTCACTCGTCTGCAGCGCCTGCTACAGCTGGCAGAGGCAAAAAGAGCCGCTGCTGCTGCCGACGCCGCTGCAAACGCAGCTACCGCCGCCGCTGCTGCTGACAGTGCTAATGCAGAGAGCCCAGGAGACCGGGCGGCAAAGGTGACCCGATTTGATCCTGCCTCAGTGCGTTGCATAGAGGGCGGCGTGGATTGGGACCTAGTGGAGGACCACGTGTCATCTATCAACTCTCTCTTCCCCTTTGAAGTCTCCCGTTTCTACTCAGCAGACTACCAGCAGCACCTCCTACAGAAGCTCTCAGACAGCGTCAAGCCGGAGTGGGCTGCGATAGCTACGGCCGCTGCTAGCCCCCGAGCCATGTCGATCAAGGCTCGGGAAGGCAGGTTCGTGAGGGGCGGGAGGAGGCCGGTTGATGTGGAGGAGGTGGGGAGAGGCGGGTGGGAGGCTCCTGATTTGGGACCAGTGATGGAGGAGGAAGGGGAGGGGGAGGAGGACGGGGGAGAAGAAGAGGAGGGTGGGGAGGAGGTGGAGGGGGAGATGGGGGAAGGAGGAACGGGCGGGGAGGGTGAGAGTGATGGGGAGGGGGGGTGGGGGGGTGATGGGGATGGAGGGGTGCAGCTGATGCAGGTGCGAGTGGGGAGGAGCGGAGTGGAGCGGATAGAAGCAGGGAGGGAGGAAGCTGGAGGTGGAACAAGAGAAATGGGAGGAGGAGGGGAGGGGAAAGGAGGGGTGACTGAAGGGGAGGGAAGAGGGATGGAGGGGGGTGGTTCTAGTGTGCAGAAACACCAGAGTATGCTGACCAATGAAGAGGGGAGTGGGGCGGGTAAAGAGAAGAGGGACAATGCAGCAGTGGAAGTAGTGACGGGCAGCACTCCACATGAGGTGGGGGGTGGTGGTGGTGGCGTGGAGCATACGGGGGTGGAGGATTGTGGGTCTCGGGTGCAGAAACACCACAGTGTGTTGACCAGTGATGAGGGGTGTGGGGCTGGTGAGGAGAGAAGAGCCGATGCAGCAATGAATGGTGGTGAAGTGGTGGAGCGTGTGGGGATGGAAGATGGTGAAGGGGTGCTGAAGGATGGTGGTAGCGGGGAGGCGAAGGACGGAAATGGGGGAATGCTGCTGAAGGATGGGAATGAGGGGATGACAGGTGGAAATGGGCGGACGACTTATGGAAATGGGGAAACGGAGGATGGCAATGGGGGGAATGAAGGATGGAATTGGGGGAATGAAGGATAAATATGAGGAAACGAAGGATGGAACTGGTGGATAGAAGGACAGTCAAGTAGGGTGGAAATAACGGGATGAAGGATGGTAATGGGGGGATAAAGGATGAGAATGAGGGGATGAAGGATCAGAATGAGGGGATCAAGGATGGGAATGAGGCAGAGGTTAGGTGTTGCGAAGCAGATAAAGGAACTGGCACATGTTAAATCTCATTGAAATAGAGCTGCTTGGTTGGCTTGAACTAGTGATATGAATATATACACCCTGTTTGCTCATTCAATTCACTGTTTGCCAACAGTCAAGCCCAACGAATACGAATTTCCGTTTCCCTGCCTTTATGAGGCGGTTATCGTCGGCCCTTCGCGCCTGTGATCCTGACTGGATCTTCTCGGTTTACGTGGGCGCATATTTATTGCGCCCGGGCGGACCGGCGTGGGGATACCAGTGGGGGGATAGGCATGGAGCCACTATGCCATCACAGCCTCGCTGCCCTGAACTCTCGATTTCCCCTCGATCGAGCGGTCGTCGTTGTCGCAAACAAAGCTGCTGTATTTCGCGAATGCACCTTGCCGATCTGCGATTTCGCGAAACTCGTGTGAAGCACAGTATATTCTTTCGCTAAGTTATTTTGTGCGCCACTTTCGCCATTCCTATCTTCTTCTATCCCACTCTCTCCCTCTGCACTACCCACCCCACCACTTACCTGCCTGATAAAATCTAGGGTCTGAGCTGGTAGGCGTTCATAAGAAGCGCCTGTTTCTGACGCTAATTTTCTAAGAGCGTTCTTTCTTGTAGTCGCGTGCTCCATACCCGCGACTTCCGCTACAATGCGCGGGTTTACGGGGTTGGCGCTACGATATTTCCGAGTTTGATGCGTTCGCTGGCCTTAGGGTTAGCGACCTTTTCTAGTATCCCGAAACTCGATTCTCAGTATCCACGTTGAAGCGTCAAAAAGGGATCTTTTCGCGTCTACTAGGGTTAGCGATGTCGACCGGCGAAGCGGAGGTTGCCGGAGAGGCGGCCGCATCACCAGCGCCTCCTCCTCTTGAATGGAAATTCGGTCAGGTTTTCGGCGAACGGGCTGCTGGAGAGGAAGTTCAGGATGGTGAGTTCGAGGACTTACTAGACCTTACAGATTTGGTTTATAGGATACGCAGTTAACGGTGCAGAGAAGCTCGTTGAAATACGTCCTTAGCACATATTCTGGCGATATTATCCGTGTATTTTGTTTTACGAATCGGGGTCGCTGCTCTCATGTCGCGAAGCCAGAATGCCATGGAATAGCAAACCGTTAGTCGCATTGCTCGGCTGACTTCGAGCTTGGAGCGCTATAGCGTAAATGGCACGTTACGTCCTTCCGACCGTTGGCGACACTTAATGGGTTGATTTACGCATTAGCAGCGGAATGCGCAGTGCTGACAACTGTAACAATCGCAGAAACGGCTGATTTTCAAGGCGCGTGGAAAATCGTCCGATGTAGACATTAGATGGCGGAATGTGCGGTTCTGACAACGATGGCACTCGCAGCGATCGCAAGACTGAATGTCAAATGCAAACTTCATACAGTGCAAACCATAATTTCCTAGTTTTTGAAGTATTCATGTCAACGCTAGTCGACCAGTCTATTTTCACTAACGGCCTGAAGCCGCTATTTCGATTACATACTCTCTCATCCCTAGTCGATAGTCTTCCTGATCTTAACAAGATTGCTGACATTGTGATGAAGGGCAGGTCTTTCGAAAACTTTCCGTGCACTAAGCTCATTTATCTGTTGTGGTGTGCGGTTCCGTGCGGTTCTGTGGTTCGGTGCAGTGGACATTATATCGGCGATTGAGTTCGATCGTAGCGGCGAGCACCTGGCGACGGGCGACAGAGGCGGGCGAGTGGTGCTGTTTGACCGCATTGACCTGCGCGACGTGAGTCCCTATTTTCGAAGCCCGCATTATTTCTGGAATGGCATGACGTCGGTACTATTTGCATGATGTGTCGTCTGTATGCTGCGTCTCTGCACGACGTCAAGCTTTAAGCGGCGTGGCTTGAGTCCACATTGACCTGCATGGATTTATTCAGCATGATCCTAAATGATCAGTAATATTAGCGTCGACCTTACTATCCACTTTAAACCAGAACACACCCGCTGCTTTTCAGCGCTTTCGTCTGTATGCTGCGTCCTCACCCATTGATATTTCCGCTTGTCATGAAAGAAATAAGAATAAAAAAAGGGATTAATGCACGCGGAGACGCAATGAGACGCAATGAAGACGCCTTATTAGTCGTCGTATCCACTCTTCCCTTGCTCACCTCTACTCACTCCTACTCACTCTTGTTCACTCCCTTTCACGACTGCTCACGCCTTCCCACCGTATCCCATCCCTTCCCATGCGCGCGTCCCATGGGTGCCATCAGGCGCGGGGTCGGCGGGAGATGGAAGCGAGCGACTACCCCCCCGCTGCGCACCAGCAGATCGACTACCGCTACTCCACCGAGTTCCAGAGCCACGAGCCTGAGGTGCGTGGCTTCTGTATGGGAGGACAGGGGAATGTGCACAGATAGGGAGGGAGGGTGCTAGTGTGAATCGCGCTCTTTTGGTAGCCTGCATCTGCTGGTCAAGCTGTTGGACGGGTAGCCTACCCAGCAGATCGACTACCGCTACTCCACCGAGTTCCAGAGCCACGAGCCTGAGGTACGGGTTGGCGCCATATGCGGGAGTGGGAGGCACGGCAGCCGTGTGCAGTAGGGGAGCAGGGAGGTGGGTGCGGAGAGTTGGATGGAATGGGACGCGCTTGGTAGCTGCTAGGGTGGTAGCCTAACCTGCAGATTGAGAAAAGCCAATCCACTCAGATGCAGAGCTGCGAGCCGGAGCTATCGCTAGGGCGGGATGTGCGGGAGTGGGACGGGGGAACGGGCACGGATGCAAGGGGTGAGGGTGTAAGTCGCGTCTTTGGCGGGTTGGTATGCAGCGCGCCAGCAGATCGAGTACCGCTGATGCTGATGCTCGGACTTGCAGAGCAACAAGCCCGAGGTACGGCTGCTGTATGCAGGATGGGGCCTGGAAAAGGATCAGGAAGGGGATCGATAGGCATGGAACAGCCAACTATGTGGCACGAAATGGTGGATGAACACATTTATCAGCCGATCATCACGAGCGCCCCTGAGTTTTCGAGCCACGAGTTACACGCGTGAAGCTTGCAATGCTGTGCGCTGGTGATAGGTCCACCTTAGCTCAAGCTGCTAGAGATAGAGAGGAGGAGGTAAACGCTCCCCAGTCGGGCACCCCAACGTGCCATTATACTTCTCCTGACCGCACTTCACCCCTCTTGCTCCTCTCCACTTCCAACCCCTCCCATCTTTCCTCTCTCTCTCCCATCGCTCCCTCTCCACCTCTCTCTCCGTCCCCCTTTCGCACCTGTTTGACTACCTCAAGTCGCTGGAAATCGAGGAGAAGATCAACAAGATCCAGTGGGTGAACTCGTCCCTAGGGAGGTCCTCATTCTGAGAACGCTAAAAGAACTATCCCTCTCTTTCCGTCTCTCCCTCCCCTCCAGTTCGACTACCTCAAGTCGCTGGAGATAGAGGAGAAGATCAACAAGATCCGGTGGGTGAACTCGTCGCAGGGCGCTCTGTACCTGCTATCCACCAACGACAAGACCATCAAGCTCTGGCGCGTCACCCAGCTTTTCTTCCATCCCTCGCCTCCCCTCTTCCCCCACCCCCTCCCCTCTTCCCCCACCCCCTCCCCTCTTCCCCTCCCCCCCCTCCCCTCGTCCCTCCCCTCCCCCTCCTTTCCTCCTCCCCTCTTCTCCCCTCCTCCCCTCCCTGCCAGTTCGACTACCTGAAATCGCTGGAGATAGAGGAGAAGATAAACAAGATCCGGTGGGTGAACTCCTCCCAGGGCGCGCTGTACGTGCTCTCCACCAATGACAAGACCATCAAGCTCTGGCGCGTCACGGAGCGCCGCGTCAAGGCCGTCTCGCAGTTCAACTGCCCGCCCCGCACAGCCGCCGACTACCTCGCCTCCGCCAACGCGCCAGCCGACCCAGCAGCAGCAGATGCGCTCCCCACGCCCCCTGTGTCAGTGCCTGGCGGGCCACAGATCAACCCGCGGTACCTCCCGCGCCCTGGATCGCTGTCTGCTGCGTCGGCTACGGCCAGAGCGGTGGCTGCTGGCGCTGGAGCGGTGCTGAACGGTGTGGGCGAGGGCATGGAGCTGGATTTCCCTCCTGGAGGGTTTCCTCAACTGCGCCTCCCTGCTGTGGTGAGTGCTGCATGCCCTGCGCCGTGCGTCCTGAGCGTGTGTTGTCGTTGCAGCCAGCACGTTACAGCCAGCACTGTTTGAAGTCAGTTGGGCTTCATTGCTCCACTCCTATCTTCTTCTCACATATCACATTCTTGTTCTCCTCCCACCTTGCTCTTCCCCCCACCGTGCTCTCCTTCCCATTGTATCCTCCCCCCCACCATGCTCTCCCCCTCCTCCCCACCTTGCCCTCCAGCCCATCTCGAACCACCCCCCCACCCCGTCCTCCATCCCATCGTGCCCTCCCTCCCAACTTGCCCTCTCCTCCCTCCCATCCTGCTCACTCCTTCCTCCCACCGTGCCCCTACCCGCACCCTGTCTTCCCTCCCGTCGTTCTCTCCCCCTTTCCCCCACCAGGTGTCAACTAACGAGACCACGCTGGTGGCGCGGTGCCGCCGTGTCTTCTCCAACGCGCACGCCTACCACATAAACTCCATCTCCTGCAACAGGTGCGCGGTTTTTGGGGCTTAGAAGGAGGATTTTTTCGGTCTGAATATCAATAGTCTGGGTTTCGTTGTCTCAAAGCACGCCTACCACATAAATTCCATCTGCAACAGGTGTGTGCATCGCTGCTGCTGCAACAGGTTACCTGTCTGTTCGTGCAGCAACTCAGTCAGCTGCTGCTGCTATTACTGCTTACTTGCAGTAGCCTGGGCTGTGTGAGTTGTTACCCCTCGCAGGCGCTGCTCTTTTTCTCGTTTCGCTGCCCACCCGTTTCACCCACCCACTCACTCACCCACCCACCGACCCACCCGCCGGGCCACACCCCTCCACTCGTTTTCCCCCACCCCTTTCGCCGCCACCGCAGCGACTACAGGCTAACCTGTGGAGCCTAGAGGCCCGTTGACAAGCCTCCATCACATTCCCTTTCCCCACTTCCCCCTCACAACCCCTCTCAAAACATTGCCCTTTCGTATCCCTTTTCCCTCCCTCCCCCGTCTTTCTCTCAAACCCCTCTCACCCCTCCTCCACATCCCGTTCTCCTTTTGTCCGCTCCGTCCCTTCCCCCCGCTCCCTCCCTCTCTCCCCTGCCCTCTCTCTTTGCCCCCTGCAGCGACCGGGAGACGTTCATATCAGCGGACGACCTGAGGGTGAACCTGTGGAACCTGGAGAACAACTCGCAGAGCTTCAATGTGGTGGACATCAAACCCGCTAACATGGAGGACCTCACAGGTGGGTGATGGCTGGCTGGCGTGGTGCGGTGTAGGTACAAGTGTATGAGAGTGCATGCATGGCTTTGCAGCACGCAGAGCTGCAACGTGGTGGATATCATCAAGCCCGCTAACATGGAGGACCTCACAGGTGGGGGGTTTGGTGCGGGTAGATCCTTACAAGTATAGATGCAACGTGAGCATGCACAGCTTTGCAACGCGCAGAGCTGCAACGTGGTGGGTGGACCTCACAGGTGGGTGTTGTGGTGTGATGTGGTGCAAGTGGGATCTCATAAACTGTATGCATCTCAAGTGGCGCAAGTCTATGTCACTGCCCCTCCTTTTCCTCAATGGTCGTGTCCCCAACCCCGTTCCACTCCCCTCTCCTGTCTCCCTCCTGTCACCCGTCTCCACCCCCCACTCCCCCTGCTCCTCGCCCCCCTCTGCCCTCCCTTCCCCCCTCCCCGCGACACACCCCACCCGCTTGCTCTTCCTGCTCCTGCAACCCCTCTCAACTCCCCCATGCGCCCCTTCTCCCCTTATTCTCCCACAAACTCAACCAGAGGTGATAACGTGTGCGGAGTTCCACCCATCGCACTGCCACTCGCTCGCCTACTCCACGTCCAAGGGCACCATCCGCCTCATTGACATGCGCCAGTCCGCCCTCTGCGACCAACACTCCAAGCTGTGAGCCTTGTTGTTGCGAGTTAGTGTTGCTTGAAATGCGCACACTGCTGGTAAGGTGTGCTCTGTGCCATGTACCTAGTGACATGCGCTGCCACCATCCGCCTCACCTAATGACATGCGCCAGTCCGCCCTCTGCGACCAACACTTCAACCAAGCTGCGAGCTTGATGGCATGCATGTCCGTCTGTGACAGTCTCGCACTGCGGTTGGAGGAGTAGGAGCTTAAAAGCACGTGACAGATTCCTTGTGCTTCTCGAGTCATCCTCACTTTGCTAATCCATGGCGCTCCCTCTCTCGCAGCTTCAAGGAGCAGGAGCCCCCGGCAACCGCTCCTTCTTCTCGGAGATCGTCGCATCCATCAGCGATGTCAAGTTCTCCACCTCGCACCTGTCTCGCATCTTTCCATCCACGCCCCTCCCTCTCGTTGCTTGCGCTCCAAACAGCTTCGAGGAGCAGGAACCCCCCGGCAACCGCTCTTTCTTCTCGGAAATCATCGCATCCATCAGCGATGTCAAGTTCTCCAATGACGGCCGCTACATCTTTAGTCGCGACTACATGACCGTCAAGGTGCGTGCACTTGTCCAGCAGTGCTTTGTCAAGGCAGTAATGGGTGAAGTTGGTGCGCCACGAAGAAAGGCAGGCAGTAGTGCCAGTCATTCTTCTCGGAGATCATCGCATCCATCAGCGATGTCAAGTTCTCCAACGACGGCCGCTACATCTTCAGCCGCGACTACATGACCGTCAAGGTACGGCTTGAAAAGCAGTGTGTATGGTGAGTACGGTGTGGCATGGCATGTAGTCAACCACCAGACGAGAAGAAGAATGGCACACAGAACTGGTTCTTTGGTTCCAACTTTCAAATGATCCTTGTTTGTTGGAGAAGAATCAGCATGGATCCCGACAGATGTTCCTTGTGCTTTGAGCCGCCTCAAGTGCTTCCCTGTTTCCATTCCTTCATCTTCCACTCACCCGCCCAACCCCCCACCCCTTATTCGCTCCCTGGGCGTGGCAGCTGTGGGACATTCACATGGAAGCGCAACCGCTGGGAACGTTCAAAGTGCACGAGTTCCTGCGACCCAAGGTGACCACCCCACCTTACCACCTGCCTTCTATCCCTCAGTCATTCTGCTGTCCCCTTCTCCTTACCATGCCATCCACCCTGCCTTCTATCCCTCAGTCATTCTGCTGTCCCCTTCTCCTTACCATGCCATCCACCCTGCCTTCTATCCCTCAGTCATTCTGCTGTCCCCTTCTCCTTACCATGCCATCCACCCTGCCTTCTATCCCTCAGTCATTCTGCTGTCCCCTTCTCCTTACCATGCCATCCACCCTGCCTTCACACTTTACGTTCCCTTTTTGTCCACTTCGCATTCACTGCCCTCCCCCCCCCTCGCCTCCCCTGGGGGTCCTGCCTTCATAGTTTCTGTAGGGCTATACTGCCCGTTCTACTGCCGTTCAGCATTCCCACCTCAATCCATTTCCCCATTTCCATCTCCTCAACTCAGCTGCACACTCAGCTGCCTCCTCACCCCCGACTCCCCTTCTCTTTCCCCCTCACTCTTGCTTCACCCCCACCTGTATGAGAACGACTGCATAGTGTACAAGTTCGAATGCATATCCTGACCCTCCCACTTTCCACTCCCCGCTCTCCACCTGTGTCCTCCTCCCCCACTCCCCTCATTCCCTGGTCTTTTTCTCTCACCCCACCAGCTGTGCCACTTGTAAGAGAACGACTGCATATTTGACAAGTTCGAGTGCACATTCTAATTCCTTCTCGCCACCCCCTTCCACTTCCTTCCCCCCGTCTCCCCCATCCGCCTCTCCTTTCCTTCATCAACCCCCCCCACTCCCCCACCTCCACCTCCAACAGCTGTGTGACCTGTACAAGAACGACTGCATATTTGACAAGTTCGAGTGCATGTTCTCACTACCCCTCCTCTCTTTCCTCCTCTCCTCCATGCCCCCTTCCCACCCTTCCTCCCCCCCTCCCCCCCCCACCTTTCTCCTCTCACCCCACCAGCTGTGCGACCTGTATGAGAACGACTGCATATTTGACAAGTTCGAGTGCACACCCAGCGGGGACGGGTTGCGATGCGCCTCTGGCTCCTACAGGTGAGACTCATCCCTGTACAGGTGTGAGTTGAGGCTCGTACATGCAAGTCTGCTGGAATGCGTCTGTTGGTCTGTCTGCACTGGCGTGCTGCATCAAACATCTTGTGATGTGAATCAACCTGCTAACATGCGATGCGACCAGGACCTCTCATGTCAAGCTCTTTGTGTTTTACCCGCTTTGGCACCCTTACCGTGTGCACATCTCTCTCTCTCCCTCTCTCCTGCCCACCTCGCTTGCAGCAATCTGTTTCGGGTGTTTGGAGTGGTGCCAGGGAGTGACGAGGCCTCGCTGCTCGAGTCCTCTAAAACACCAAACAGGTGCGCCCATCCTCCCTCTCTCCCACTCTGTCCACCACGCTTCTCCCCCCCTCCTTTCCCCCCTTTATCCTGCACGCCCCACTCCCCCCCCCACACCCCCGCTCCCCTCCCGCCTTTCCCTATGCTATCCGGCCATTCTAACTTTCACAAAAAAAAAAAAAAAAAAATCAGTTCGATACAAGCTTTGCGTCTCTGGCCTCTGATTTGAATAATTTTCATTGTTGATCACTTCATTCCCCTCACCCATTCTGACGTGCCGTATGGCATGTGCGATTGATGGGTGGTCACATCCTGCTGGCATGGGTGATCGTATCGTGCTTGCATGGGCATGTGGGCACGACGTGTCTGGGGGTGGTTGGCATTGTATGGCATGGTGTTCATTCTTAATCATGTCGCGGCATGGGGTGTTGTTGGAATGAATTCAAAATGGTGGCATGAGCAGGCGCATGGTGCAGACACCAGCCAAGGGAGGGGGCAGGGCAGGGGCACGCGGCAGGAGGGATGCAAGAAGAGGTGCGTGGGGGATAACACACTCAGGCACCACCTCATGCTTCTTGCCACTTCCCAATGCCTTGTGCTCTCCACCAAATTCCGTGCAACCCCTTCATACCTTCTTGTGCACCTTGCCTTCTCAAGTCCTTCTATTGGCCGGCCACGGTCACTTGAACTTTCTGATTTCTCCCGTGTGGTTATGGCAGAAGCGGTGGATTCCATGGATCCCAACGGCATGCAGCATGACTTTTCTTCAAAGCTGTTGCACCTTGCGTGGCATCCCAAGGCCAACCTCATTGCCTGTGCCGCCTCCAACTCCCTCTACATGTATTATGCCTGACCATCATGGCTCTCCGATCTCCCTGTGCATCGGGATTTGTTTTACTTACTGGTTGATTTTCTTCTGAATTGAACATAGCTAGATTGGGAATATACACGATGAAAAGCTGATAATGCGCCTAACCTTCGAACATTTTTGCAATGTGAAGTATATGAATTCAGATTAACTGGCTTGGATGATTTTAGAGAAGTTCCTACACGCGGAAGAGCTGAACTGTAGTTGACTCTGGATTCTACATTCGCCGCATTTGGCGCTAAGGTTCTGTACCTCCATGCACGTCCATCCCTCCCTGCTTTTCCCTGCAATTCGGGAAACCGACACCATCGCATCGCGCAGCCATCCCAAATCCGCGATCCGGCGGATTTCACTCGACATGTATGTGTGCTGCTGGTCTCGATGGAATTTCTCCCCCATCATCCATCCATAGCCCTCCTCCGCCCAGTCATGCTTCAAACAAAGCTGCTGTCCACTGCCGAGGTATTATCCAAAAGACAGACAAGGTGCATGACAGCTAAGTGTGCTCTCAGGTTGCTTCTTCGCCTCGACAGGACCGTCGGCGCCACTGTACCAACCACCTCTATGCATGATGCAGGCAACCGAATAAATAGCGCGTTCGATTTACCAAATCTTCCTCACATACGGCCCGCTGAGATTTCTCACGATAGTTTCCTGCAAGTCCTACACTTCGCACTTACAGCATTTTCGCACATTCAAAGCACTCAGGCTCAGTAGTCCAGCTCGATCTGGCGGTCAGGAACTTCTTTCTTTCCCGCTAGTGATTAGGAACTCTTTTCCCCCTATTACGCAACGAAGAATGCTCAGAAAATATTTTCTAGTTTGCAGTTCCTGCGTCGATGTTGCTTTGTCATAGAGTGCCGCGCTTCACCTTAGCAGCCACCAACGGGAGTTCCACTTGATGCCAGTGTGCGCGTGGTGAGTTGTCGGAGAGTAACGCTGATGCCACGGAGCTCCTGACGCTTATCCGGCGAATGCGGCTATAGATTCAGGCTTCCTAGGTGCACCTTGTCACATGCGCTCGCTCGTCCATCACACCGTGCGCGCAGATGCCTGCGCCATGCGCGGTCGTCGTCGGCCCTCTCGGCGCGCATCGCCGTGTAACGCGCGGGTACCGCAGCCAATCGGCGCTCTTTCCGGCGATGCTGTTGCTGTCCTTCGTCGCCTTCTCCGCCGGATTCACTGATTTCGTTCGCCGACCCGGCCCCGCCCCGCCCCCCTTTTCGCCTCCCCCTCGTCCCCCTTCTCCTCCTCCCCGGCCCCCTCCCCCTCCCAGTCCTCCCCCACGCCCTCCGCCTTCTCCGCCTCCTTCTCCGCCCCCGAATCCTCCCCCGCCGTCTCCCCCTCCCAGACCTCCCCCCAGCCCTCCGCCCAAACCACCGCCTCCACCGCCATCTCCCCCTCGCCCCCCGCCTCCCCCGCGCCCTCCGCCACAACCCCCGCTTTCTCCGCCTCCTTCCCCGCCCCCGAGAACCCCCCTTTCTCCTCCTCCGCCTCCCAAACCCCCTTCTCCGTCCGTCAATCCCCCCCTCCCGCGCCTCCCACTGCTTCCGCCGCCCACTCTCCCCCCGTCTGATGGTCCCCCGACCCCCACTTTGAAACCGGAGGGGGAGATTTACCGCGTGTGCGCCGTCGCAGGTAAGGCGGGAGGGGGTGTGTAGCAAGGGGGGGGAAGGCGGAATGTGGCAGGTTGCGATCGAGTTGTAGCAGGGTGAAGGGACTCTAGCCGGGGGGAGTGGCTGTAACAGAGTGAAAAAGGGAGACTGTAGGGACGGAGCCCAGACTTCCAATCTTTGCAGCTTCGTTTTGAAAGGGCAAAGAATGGCAAGAAAGAGGAAGGTCGGAGTGCGCAAGGGTGAGAATTCAACCGTATGGGCTCATGAGCTGTCTCAAGTGTTTTCAACTGTCGTTACAACTCGATTCCCGACCCGCCTTTTCACCCTCTCCCAACCACAGGTCATGCGTAGAAACGGTCACTGGCAGTGCTTTGAATCGACTCACAACTCATATTCTGCTCCCAATTCTAACCTCCCAACTTCCCCCATAACAGGGCCTGCAGTCGTAACGATCACAAGCACGCCTATCGGGCAAACCTGGCGAGGCTGGGGCACGTCGCTAGGCTGGTTCGCGAATTACATTGGTCGCTTACCCGCCGCCGATCTCAACACCCTCTTAGACCTTCTATTCCACCCCACGCGCGGCCTCGGTCTTAATATGGTTAGGCACCTAATTGGAGCGGGCTTCAATCCCGCACGGTCGCCTCAAATGACGTCCTTAGGACCTCCCTTTGACGCGCGGCCGATGCCCGGGTATAAACCAAAGGCGGCAGGACCGTACGATTGGTCGGCAGATTGGCGGCAGCGGCGCGTGCTGATTGGTGCGCTGGCGCGCGGAGTTGATTCGGTAGAAGCAGTGGCTTATTCGCCGCCGTGGTGGATGACTCTTAGCGGGGATGTGTCAGGCGGCCACGCGAACACCAACAACATACGGCCGAGATATTACGAGGCATTCGCGGACTATTTAGCTACTATAGTGCAGAAATTTAGAGACGCGTGGAACGTTACTTTCGTGGCGATTAGTCCGACTAACGAGCCGCTGGAGGGATGGTGGGAGCAAGGGGGAATACAGGAGGGTTGTAATTTCGACGCTAATGGATTACAAAAACTGATCCCCTTGGTCGTGCGAGCTCTCAAGAAGCGAAACCTGGTAACCCGAGTAGCAGGATTCGACAGTCTGGTGGACTCCACGGTTCGTTACAAGCGGTTCTGGAGTGCTGCGAAGCAGCAATCACTACAGCCGTTGAGGCATCTTAGTGTACATGGGTATATATTCCCGAGGGGAAACTCGACAGGAATTTACAGCCCCAGAGTTTATGTCGAGCAAATGTTTGGACAAATGCGGGAGGTGGGAAAGAGCTTACAGAAGGAGGTTTGGGTTACCGAAGCTGGGCCTCTGTTCATGAAGGGGGGAGCAGACATTGATATTGCCGTGCACATGGCAAGAACCGTCATCCAATCAGTGAACATCATGGGAGCATCTGCTTGGATCTTCTGGCAAGCAGTGGGGAACACTCGGACATGGGCCTTTCTTATTATTCCTATGGCTCCGATTAAAAGCGCGGAGCTACCACCTTTCTCGGTGGTCTATTCGAAGAAGTATTTTGTAATGAAGCAGCTTGTACAAGGGGCGCCAAAGGGGAGCAAGCCGTTACAGGTTACCACTGCGCAGGGGTATCATCATTGCGTGGCTGCCTTCTACTCTGCTGCCCGGCGCCAGCTGGCGGTGTTTGTGGCCAATCAAGACGGGGATGATTACCCGGTGTCATTGGCCATTGATTCTTTATCAGCAGAGAATTCAGCTGCTCCTGTACAAGTCAAGATGTACAGGACAGCTTATAACGAGGATATGGAGCCCACGTTTGCCCAGGCATATGATTCAATGCCAAAGACTGTGAAGGTGTTGGCTCGTTCCCTAAGCTTTACATCTGTGCTTGTGTCAAACATTGTGCCTGGATGATGTGTTTGGGACCTTCTTCTGTTCATGCCTTCTGCTGTAATTTGTATTGTACCCCTGCGTGCGTGACTATCTGGAAAGGAGAGAGCAGAGATTGTTGCGGAGAGGAGAGAAGAGGAGAGGAGAGGAGAGGAGAGGAGAGGAGAGGAGAGGAGAGGAGAGGAGAGGCGAGGAGAGGAGAGGAGAGGCGAGGAGAGGAGAGGAGAGGCGAGGAGAGGAGAGGAGAGGAGAGGAGAGGAGAGGAAGAGAGGATAGAAGAGGAATGTGAGGAGATCTAGAGTCTGTCCCATCCGCACACCTCGGCCCAATTTTGTCAGTGGAGAGTGCACACAAGCACGGCACATAACAGCTCTTTCCCCAACAGCTTGTCCCCTGCTCTAATTGTTGCCGAGCCATTACCTTTTTGAAGGCATTGCATGTAATATTTGAGCCCTGGCTGGCACACCTTTGAGCACCTCAAATATTTCATTATCATGTTGGTGCATAGTTTACATTTCCAATCTAATACTGCAGAAGTAACAACGGTAACACCCAAATGTCCTGCACTGGGTGCGAAACTTCCATGGCTCGGCTTCTAACGGGGACACCACTCAACTTCCCTCCTGAAATTTCGCCCCTCGATTTCTTCGGTTTCCAGCACACCTGTCTATTTTGCACCAGTGGGTCTCGTTTGACATGAGGTAATTATCTAGGTCCGTCGTCGCAATCGAGACGGCAGTGACTAATTGCGGCGACCAAATGCTCGTGGCGATAGCGTATAGCGGCAATACCCAATTGCATCGATATCCATACCGCACCACCCCTTGCGCATCGTACCAGAGGCTGGTCCAATCCGATGGCGGATATTTCTCGTCAGCCTGACTCCGCAGCTCAGCCGTTGGATCCCGTCCTCGTGGAGGGAGCGCTTTTTTTCCGGCCAGAGGAGGGGGGGGAGGCGGAGATTGCGCAAGGCGCAAAAGCTGCTGCGGAAAACCTGCAGCAAAAGCAGGAGCAGCAAGGCGCGCAAAATTACCGTTTAAACGGGCGTGACGTGGCGCACAGGGACGGTGCATGGTCCTTTCGTTTGAACCACAGCAACGCGGGTAGAACAAGCGAGGCGGGTGAAGCGGGAAGCACGGGAGCGGATTTAGGCGTGCAATTGCGATCAATCAACGTGAGAACGACCCGGAACAGAAACACCCCCCGTACTAGCTGGGAGCGGCAGGATGGCTCTACCCTCGACTCGTCGTCTTCCCCTGACAGCGCGTCCCCGTTTGGAACTGCTTCGGTTACAGCAACGGAGGCTGGAGACTCCCTAGCGGTGTACCAACGAGCGGTGGCTAAGCTAGTGGCGTTTGGGTTCAACGGGAAGGAGATTAACGACCATGCTCGCCGCCTCATCGCATTGGGTGAGCGCTGCACAACAGCCCCTCGGTTATCATTGCATCCTCTCACTCATTAACTCTCTCCCTTTCATTCACTCTGTCACTCCCTCGCACGCCCGCCTCTCACCACCCTCTCTTCCAGGTGCGGGCAGCATCGTTCTCGTCTCCAACAACTTCTCCAACCTCCGCCAGCTCCCACATAGCTATGCGCTCTCACTCTCTCACTCACACACTCACTCCCTCTAACCCTCTCACCCTCTCCCCCTTCCAGGTGCGGGCGGTGTTGTCCTCTTCGCCCGCAACTTCTCCGATCCCCGCCAGCTGGCCTCTTTCTGCGCCGACCTCAAGCGGGCGGCGTTCCCTCGGCGTCTTCTCATCATGGTGGATCAGGAGGGCGGCAGAGTCACGCGCCTCGGCCCGCCCTTCACCTGCATCCCCGCCGCCCGCACCATCGGCTTTTCCCGAAACCCTAATCTCGCTCGGGCGGCTGGCCGTGTCTTGGGGCGGGAGTTAAGATCGGTTCATATAGATATAGACTTAGCTCCTGTACTAGATGTAGATACTAACCCTGACAATCCAGTTATAGGGGCTCGGTCGTTTAGTCGGGACCCGGGTGTTGTCTCTCAGATGGGGTACGAGCTTATAAGGGGTATGCAAGGGGAGGGGGTGGCAGCGTGTGTGAAGCATTACCCAGGGCATGGGGATACATCGATCGATAGCCACCTGGCGCTTCCCTATTCGTCGCACGATCTCAGCCGGCTTGAATCTGTGGAGCTGGTGCCGTTTGCGCGGGCGGCAGTGGATGCTGACGTGGCAGCAGTGATGGTCGCCCACGTGGCAGTGCCTGCACTTGTCACGTGGCAGCCTCCCCCTTCCATGGAGTACCTCCCAGAGAGTGTGAAACGTGTCATCAGTCCACGGTGGGATCTGTTTTCCCCCTACAGGAGGCGGAAGCAGTGGGACGAGGCGAGGAGAGAAGCAGAAGCAACCTTGGGATTGCCGCGATCGCTCTCTGAGTCTGACCTGAGGGGTTCTGGCAGTGCTGGTGATAAGAGTAGCCATGACAGCAGTAGAAATAGCAGTAACAGTTGTGTTACCACTGGAGCTGACACAGTCAAATCCCCATCAACCACACAACAGCCACACCAGCAGCAGCCTATTCCTCCCACCAACCACCCCGCCCCATCCCCCAACCCCTCCCCACTGGCTGCCTTCGGCTCTTCTCTCCCTGCCACTCTCTCCCCCGGTGCCCTCTCCTACCTTCGTATGGAGATTGGTTTCGAAGGCGCCGTGTTATCAGATTGCCTGGAGATGGGGGCGATAGTGAAGCATGTGGGTGTGGGAGAGGCAGCAGTGCTGGCTGTAGCAGCAGGGGTGGATATGGTGTTGGTCTGCCACACGGAGACCAGACAGGCAGAAGCTGTTAATGCGCTGGCGCACGCGCTACAGTCCGGGCGGCTCTCAGTGAAAAGATTCCGGGCAGCTTCCCGGGCAGTTGATGCGCTGGCGCGAGTGTTTTGGCGGCCGCCCCCGCCCGAGGGGAGTGAGGTGGAGGAGAGGTATTGGGAGGAGGAACAGCGGGTGGTAGGGTGTAGGGAGCATAGGGAGGTTGTAGCAGAGATAGAACATGAGGCGTTGGCGCGGGGAGAGGGGGATGATTGGAAGGAGAAGGAGAGGAGGGAGGGTGGTCGGCGGTGTACTATATCGTAACGGTTTGTACTGCATGCTAAGGTAGAGATTACAGGGAGGTTGTTGGAATTTTGTTCATTATAGTGCTGATGTGTGCTAGGTAGCACTAGCAATGTGCTCATGGTGATGGTGGTGGTACCAGTAGTGGTGTTGCTGGCAATTTTGAAAGCAGCATTAAAGAAACACATGCTTACTAAAATGAAAGATGAACAAAGCACCAGACAACTAGGGAAGAAACAAATCAGAGTTATGGTCTTGTAGGCACTCCGATCTGTCTCTGTGTGAAGAAGTGTGGAGCAGCGTCCAGTAGCCACTCTCTTTCAACCGCAGTCACGTCTCGCATGTACAAAAACGAGTCAGCTTGTGATGCAGTGCGGTACACCACCCACTGCGGCGCCACTCTGTAAGGCAGGTGCAGGGTTCAGGTAACGTTCATGGATGCAGGGGGAGGGGGAGGGGGCAATAGAATGGCACTTGTGATGCAGTGCGATACACCACCCACTGCGGCGCCACTCTGTAAGGCAGGTGCAGGGTTCAGGTAACGTTCATGGATGCAGGGGAAGGGGGAGGGGGCAATAGAATGGCACTTGTGATGCAGTGCGGTACACCACCCACTGCGGCGCCACTCTGCGAAACAGGTGGATAATCCAATACACATGAGGGGGTAGGGAAGGGGGGAAAGGGGGGGGGAGACCACTGCACGGGAAGGTGAGATGGCTGCTGCTGTTAGTACAGTACTTTAATAGTATGGATAGGAGGGAGGGGGAATGAAATTTGTCGGAGTGGTGAGGTGTGGGGTGAGTAAGGGGGTTTGTCATACCTGAAAAGGACGGACGAAGGGTGAATCTTAAGATGCAGATTGCCCCTCACGGACTTGTATGTTGATCCGTCACCATCAGGCTGGTATGGAAGGGAGGGGGTATGGTAGAGGAGGGGTGAATCCTAAGGTTCAGATAGCCCCTCACGGACTTGTATGTTGATCCGTCACCATCAGGCTGGTATGGAAGGGAGGGGGTATGGTAGAGGAGGGGTGAATCCTAAGGTTCAGATAGCCCCTCACGGACTTGTATGTTGATCCGTCACCATCAGGCTGGTATGGAAGGGAGGGGGTATGGTAGAGGAGGGGTGAATCCTAAGGTTCAGATAGCCCCTCACGGACTTGTATGTTGATCCGTCACCATCAGGCTGGTATGGAAGGGAGGGGGTATGGTAGAGGAGGGGTGAATCCTAAGGTTCAGATAGCCCCTCACGGACTTGTATGTTGATCCGTCACCATCAGGCTGAGAGGGGAGGGCGGGATGGGAAGCGGAATGGAACGTGCATAGACTCATGCACAACCATGTGCGTAGACTTAGACAAACCATGCACGGACTCATGACAAGCATGTGTGGGCACTCTTGGATTCATGAGTGAATCCAAGAGTGCTCACACATGCTAGTCATGAGTTCCGCTCATACTCTGCACCGCCCGCTCATACGCTGCACCGCCCGCTCATACGCTGCACCACCCACTCATACGCTGCACCGCACGCTCATACGCTGCACCGCCCGCTAATACGCTGCACCGCACGCTCATACGCAGCACCGCACGCGCATACGCTGCACCGCACGCTCATACGCTGCACCGCACGCTCATACGCTGCACTGCCCGCTCATACGCTGCACCGCCCGCTCATACGCTGCACCGCCCGCTCATACGCTGCACCGCCCGCTCATACGCTGCACTGCCCGCTCATACGCTGCACCGCCCGCTCATACGCTGCACCGCACGCTCATACGCTGCACCGCACGCTCATACGCTGCACCGCCCGCTCATACGCTGCACCGCCCGCTCATACGCTGCACCGCCCACTCATACGCTGCAGATCACGCATATCACGAAGAATTTTCCAGATCTGCGATTTTCACACTTGTTTTCTCACTGTTGATCCTTTGCTTAAAGGACACATCCAGAATTACCGTGTCGGCCCCAAAACTGTCACCACTTTCACGTGATTGGTCGAAGGTTTTGAGTGGGTTTTTGACGGGATTGGTTATCGATTTTTCCACCGAACCTCCTTCTGGGGTTTTCCGAACCTACAATTTTTTCGTTGACTTCGTTGTGTAATTCGGGTTGTGGCCTTTAAGTGTCTTTTCTACTACTGCAGCCCTTCGAATATGAGTCAAGGTCATACACTGCAGATCTTACCATGAGCTGAGCCGCATTCACGAAGAGAGAGGCCGCCGCTGCCCGTTGGAGCAGCTGGTGGAGAGGAGTAGGGGTTGGCAGAGGGGAGAGTGGAACAAAATATTGGTGGGTGACGAGAAGTGATAAAAGATGGCACTGCTGCCTGCTGGAGCAGCTGGTGGAATCAGGGGTGGTGCGGGGTTGGAGGGGGTGTGGTGGGGTTGTGGGTGGGTGTGGGTGGGAAGGCAAGCAACGGAAATGGGGAAGAGGAGGGACAGGTAGGGGGACTGGGAACGTGGGGTGGGGGATAAGGGGACGGAAATTATAAGGTGAGAGTGTGGGACAGGAGAAAGAGTGGCATGTCGTTAAGTGCTGACGTCATGAGTATACCCACCATGACGTCATGAGCATACCCACCATGACGTCATGAGCATACCCACCATGACGTCATGAGCATACCCACCATGACGTCACCTCTGCATGACAGCAGCTTCAGCCCCAGGCGCCTTAGCCCTTTCCGCAGCTGCCCCCTCACATCGTCCACTCGCAGCTGAGATGTGGGGGCGGGGAGGGGTAGGGAGGAGTGAGGATGGGCGAGAAGGGGTGGGGAGGGGTGAGGAGGCAGATTTGAAAAGCGCCTGAGGCCCCTCCTCAGCCGCCCCCTCACATCGTCCACTCGCAGCTGAGATGGGGGGATGGGGAGGGATGAGAAGGGGTAAGGAGAGGTGAAGGAGGGGTGAGGGCCAAAGAGGAATAGACGAGGGAAGATGTCTGCAGTCGGTTGGCTGTAAACTGCACTGGGAAGTTTTGAGATTTGTACGAATTACAATGCAGAAACATGGCACAGAGCACAGAGCATAGCAAGTAGAGCACAGCACAGAAACCACGGTTGCCAGTGCACCAATACCATGCGACTTCGAGTCGACTTGGAACCAAACCACCATGAGACCATGCGACCTTACCACTTCTCACCCCTCCCCATGGTAGTCAGTCAGTGTACCATGGCCTGGTAGTTGATGCCGTTGGCGTGGCACCACTTGGGCGACCGGCCACTGCGAGTGAAGCCCTCATACACGTTCAGGTAGGAGACAAAGTCGCCCTGGTGGGAGAAAAGGGAGGAAGTTAGGCGTGAACAATGGAGGGATGGGAGAGGGGTTGTCTTGTCGCGAGGTGAATTGTGTTACTTTCTGTGAAGCCCTCATACACGTTCAGGTAGGAGACAAAGTCGCCCTGGTGGGAAGACAGAGGGAACACAGAGAATAGAGAGGGAACACAGAGAATACAGAGGGAACACAGAGAATAGAGAGAATAGAGAGGTGGAGGGAGTGCAGAAGAAGGGGGCAGGGGGTGTGGCGAGTTCACTTGGGCGACCGGCCACTGCGAGTGAAGCCCTCATACACGTTCAGATAGGAGACAAAGTCGCCCTGGTGGGAGAGACAAGGGAGAAGAGAGAGAGCATCGAACGCACAGAACACAGAGGAAGGGGTTGGCGTTGCAGAACACAGAGGAAGGGGTTGGCGTTGCAAAACACAGAGGAAGGGGTTGGCGTTGCAAAACACAGAGGAAGGGGTTGGCGTTGCAGTGAGGAAGGGGTTGGCGTTGCAGTGAGGAAGGGGTTGGCGTTGCAGTGAGGAAGGGGTTGGCGTTGCAGTGAGGAAGGGGTTGGCGTTGCAGTGAGGAAGGGGTTGGCGTTGCAGTGAGGAAGGGGTTGGCGTTGCAGTGAGGAAGGGGTTGGCGTTGCAGTGAGGAAGGGGTTGGCGTTGCAGTGAGGAAGGGGTTGGCGTTGCAGTGAGAAAGGGGTTGGCGTTGCAGTGAGGAAGGGGTTGGCGTTGCAGTGAGGAAGGGGTTGGCGTTGCAGTGAGGAAGGGGTTGGCGTTGCAGTGAGGAAGGGGTTGGCGTTGCAGTGAGGAAGGGGTTGGCGTTGCAGTGAGGAAGGGGTTGGCGTTGCAGTGAGGAAGGGGTTGGCGTTGCAGTGAGGAAGGGGTTGGCGTTGCAGTGAGGAAGGGGTTGGCGTTGCAGTGAGGTCAACTGAGTTATGTGTCTGGCCGGCCTCACTACACCGCGATGAATGGATAAAACCTCCATGCATGTTCAGGCAGGACATGAACTTGCGCTAGTGAAGGGGGAAGAAATAAGCTGGTATGCGGTGGAGTGGAGAGGCGCGGCGAGTGTATACCACCGTCTGGTATACCAGAGCACCATGCCTTGCTGTTTCCCCAACCTCTCTGCCACCGTCGGACAAGCCAAAAACAAAAAAAAAGTCTGGCACCGTGTTGTGAGCACTTCCCAAGCACACCTGTACCATGCCATACTCCCTCCCTACATGCTCCCTTAAAAAGCTACTCACCTCTGCAGCAGCGAATCGCTCTTTGAGTCTGTCTGACTCCCTCTGCCTGCCGCTGCTGCCCACCCACACTGACTGGGGGAAGGGGGGATGCAGGATCGGGGGAAGGGGGGATGCAGGATCGGGGGAAGGGGGGATGCAGGATCGGGGGAAGGGGGGATGCAGGATCGGGGGAAGGGGGAGAAAGTGGGGCAGATAGGTGAGGAATGCAGTGAGTCGACTCAAAAGACGACTTAAATACAGCCTGGTGGAGGGATAAAAGCAGCAGTGGAGAGGCAGGAGTATGACAGGAGGAGGACGTGGGAGAAATACATGAGGAGGATGGAGGTCAACAGGATTCAGCTTAAACCTGCATGCCTTCCATACCCTCACACTCATGCCACACCTCCCAACCGCTCCAACCTCCCGTCTGCAAGCCAACACTCTCCTCCTCTCACCTGCACACACAGTGACGCAGCAACTGTACACATCTCCTCGGAACAACCATCAGCGTCCTCCCCATCTCCGTCTTCCTCCTCCTCATCATCCTCCTCCTTCCCCCCACCCACGCCACCTCCACCCCCTCCACTCTTCATCGCAGTACCAGTAGCACCATCAGCGGTGGTGCCAGGTGCATTGGCCGATACAAGCAGCATGAAGGCAATCAGAGGGTCCTGAGAGAACGGAGAGAGGCGGGGGACGGGAATAAGCAGGCTCAACAGGTAAGGTGAATATTGATTGATGGTTCTGGGGAGAGGAAGGAAGCTGGGGGTTACAAGCATGACAGTACTTGCACATAATTACTAGTATGTGGTTACTACCAGCATGAAGTTACCAGCATGTGGTTACCACGTGCATCTTACCAGAGGAAACTCTGCCAGCTGGACTCCAACAGGCTTGGTCAGTCTGCCGTCCATATCCAGCGCCCGGACGGCAAAGAGCGTCTCTAGTGCGCGGATCATGGCGGACGGCGCGGGCGGCGAGAGCCAATCGAATCGCATGATGTTGTCGATGCCGAGCGACTTGAGCTGCAGCACTGTTGCTGTGAGATCTGATCGCTGGATCTCCGGGATTGTGTGGGCGGCAAGATCTGTCAAGTAGCTGTGCTCTGTGTACAGTCTGTTGGAGAGAAGAGGGGCGAAGAGGACGGGAGAGCAGAGGAGAGAAGAGGTGAGGAGAAACGGGGAGAGAAGGAAGCAAGCCACATTAGAAATCCAACACGTTGCTATTATTGACAGAGGTTTGGGGGCAGCAATGCCCCTAAAACTGTTTTAATTCCATTCTGAGTGTACTAAGACTAGCGAGTGCGAGTAACTTCACCTGTAGCATTTCCCCGGCCTCACTCGCCCTGCCCTGCCTGCCCTCTGCTGTGCTGATGCTCGTGACACGGGCACTAGCAGTAGCGCATCCACGTTTGATACCTGGGGAAATGGGGATGGGGGATGGGGACACAGAACGGTACAGAGGTTGGTTGGGGAGGGCGGGTTGATGCCCTGCCTGCTCTCTGTTGTGCTGTTGCTTGTGACACGGGCCGCAGCAACGTATCCACGTTTGACACTTGGAGGGATGGGGGCAGGAGGCGCATCACAGCACGGCATGGCACAGCACAGGGGAGAGGAGAGGAAGAAGATGCCCTGAGATTTGCTGTGAACACAAAGGTCAACGGCCAAACAGAGCTGGAACACAAAGGTCAACGGCCAAACAGAGCTGGAACACGAAGGTCAACGGCCAAACAGAGCTGGAACACAGAGGGACGCGGCATAAGAGGAAGGGTGGAAGATTGGACGGGAGGAGCACTTACAGGGTCGAAGAACCGTTGCTTGACAAAGCCACAGTCAACCACGTACACTATGCCCTGACGGGGAGAGGAGGAGAAAGAGAGGGCAGTGGGATGTAGTTGCTTCCTCAACCGCATTTTACAATAAGAGGAGAAAAGTTTAACTCATATAAAGAAGCAACATCAGGACAATTTTTTTAGTCCAATCGAAGATCAACAAAATAACAGATAAAAGGTCGCCTCTTCTCCTGCATTTTTCTAGGCACCTCAAACACTAAGACCACGCACCTCAATGGTGAGAGACGTCTCTGCGATGTTGGTCGCCACCAGCACCTTCCTCCATCCCCGTGCCAAGGCAGCAAACTTCTGAGGCGCCTCAAGCACTAAGCTCACGCACGCACCTCGATGGTGAGAGACGTCTCGGCAATGTTGGTCGCCACCAGCACCTTCCTCCTCCCCCGCAGGGTGGGCGCAAATGCTGCCTCCTGTGGTGGTGGTGGTGGTGGTGGTGGTGGTGGTGGTGGTGGTGGTGGTGGTGGTGGTGGTGGTGGTGGTGGTGGTGGTGGTGGTGGTGGTGGTGGTGGTGGTGGTGGTGGTGGTGGTGGTGGTGGTGGTGGTGGTGGTGGTGGTGGTGGTGGTGGTGGTGGTGGTGGTGGTGGTGGTGGTGGTGGTGGTGGTGGTGGTGGTGGTGGTGGTGGTGGTGGTGGTGGTGGTGGAGGAGGGAACGAATAAGAGAGGGGGGGTTTGAGAGGGGCCACGAGGCAAACGCATGTGCTTCACTTTCGCACACCTGTGTGCATGCCTGCACACGAACGCGCGTGCCTATGTGTGGAGGGGCATGTGCGTTCGTGTGCATGCATGTACTTTTAGAATCAACCCATTCCCCGGGTGACATTCGTTCACTCACTCACAAGGGTCAACGAATATAGACGGGAGAAAGGGAGCGAGTAGAACTCACGATGGCACCAGCCGGCAGACCAGCTTTGAAACAGAGGCGTCGTGTCGCCAGTGAATCGATTTTAGCTCGCTATACTACGAGTGCCACCATACATACCCAAGTTAAGGAGCGGGACTTACAACATCACCGGCTGGTAGACCAGCATAGAGAGGAAACGCCTGGAGGCCTGAAGGGCGAAGAGTAGGGATGAGAGACGAAATGAGGAATAGTTAGAATGGGAAGGACAGAAACGCAAGTGAGTGACAGGACACAGGCGTGCCGCGTGCTCTGCATAGTGCTATGAAAGAGAAAACTGCAACTAAACACGTTTAATGCATCGCATCGCCTCCTAAAGAGGCGTCCGCACTAGCACATTGAATTTTGACTTAGCAAGAAGACGGACAGGGATGCATACCTCTTAGTTTCTCGGACGAGGGAGTGTAGCTGTTGCTCTGCTCCGCTATAAGCTGCACCAACGTGTCCACCTCCTCCTGTCCCGTTAAGAACACAAGTATGTCTCCTGGAGGCTCCTAAAAGGGCGAGGTGCAGGAGACAAAAGGAACGTTTTATCTTGCATTACAGTCCAATTGCATGTAAGATCAGGAAGATCACTAAGCCATCAATGAAGAAGAGAAATTCAAAGTGGTGCTTCCAGGAATAGCGGCTGCAAGGGCGATGACGCGCTGGGAGGCGGAGGGAGGCAGAGGGAGGAGGAGGGAGGAGGAGCGTTGGCCTCACCTGGCAGTGAATGGCGAGCACGGTGTCAAGTGCTGTCTGCAGGTAGTCCGATGTGGGTTCTTCAAGGTACAGCAGCTGCACCGGGTGACTCCGGCCTTCCACTGAAATGATAGCTGGCTTGCGGCTGGGAAGGGTGTTAAGGCCTTGTGACGACAAGGGCTTGGGCTTCTCGTGGCTGGGGGGGGCGGTGAGACAGGGTCAGGGGGGAACAGGGGAGATGTGTGGTTAAAGCATTACACATAGTCTGACGTGGGTTCCTCCAGGTACAGCAGCTGCACGGGGTGGCTGCGCTGCGCCCCTCCACGGATATGATCGCTGGCTTGCAGCTGGGAAGGGCTTGAAGCTGAGAGCCTTCTGGCTGAAACTTTGGCTTCTCGTTGCTAGGGGGCGGTGAGACAGGTTACTGGGGGAAAGGGGTGACGTGCGGTGAAGGGTGTGAAACAAAAACACGGTCAGCAGTCGGGGGAGTGGAAACGGGAGGGGAGTGAGTGAGAGACCGGGGAATGCAAAGAGGGGGAAAGGAGGAGAGATCGTGAGAGAGGGGAGGTGAAGAATGGAACGAGAAGAAGATCGATTAGCCGAGCGTGGGCGAGGCAACGCACCTGGTGTCAAAGAAGGCTGCCACGTCATCAGCTGCCAGCGTGGCAGATGAGATGACCAATCGGAGGTCAGGACGCCGCCGCATCACCTGGGGCATGGATGGAGAAGCGGGGGACGGACAGGGAGAGGCAAAGGGGGAAGCGCGGGGAGAGGGGGAAGGGAGGGAAAAAGGGAAGAGGGGCAGAGGAAGAGGGTAAAGGGGCAGGGCCGGGGCTAATGCAGTGGAAGCAGAAACGTACAAACGCTGACCGGCTTCGATGACACGCAAGAGCTAGCATAGGTTAGCAAGAAGAGAAACAACAAACATGGGGGTTACACCAACCTCCCACGATCACAACACGAGAACAACACCTTCTTGAGGAGGCCCAGGAGAATGTCCGTTGCCAGGCTGCGCTCATGCGCCTCGTCCACCATGATCACACTGCCATGCATGCAGTACAATAACACACGATGTGTTCAAATGGCTTATAAGTCTACATGAAACAGCTGCGCTCATGCGCCTCATGCACCGCAATATAATGGCACGAAATATATTCACATGACGTACACTCAATCGACACTCTCGCATGTCATACAACTGAGTTATACCCAATCGCATAAGGCATAGGTTGTTATCGAGCAAGAGGGAACCACAATATACAGACAGGCAACAAATCAGACAGAAAAGGAGCAGGTCCCCGCGCGCGTCTTGGTCTGCCGCGCGCACGACGTGAACATGCGTGACCAGGCGTGACCAGGCGTGACCAGGCGTGACCATGCGTGACCAGGCGTGACCAGGCGCGACCAGGCGTGACCAGGCGTGACCATGCGTGACCAGGCGTGACCAGGCGCGACCAGGCGTGACCAGGCGTGACCATGCGTGACCAGGCGTGACCAGGCGCGACCATGCGTGACCGGCCGGGCGTGACCGGGCGTGACCGGGCGTGACCGGCCGGGCGTGACCGGGCGTGACCATGCGTGACCGGCCGGGCGTGACCGGGCGTGACCAGGCGTGACCATGCGTGACCAGGCGTGACCATGCGTGACCGTGCGTGACCAGGCGTGACCAGGCGCGACCATGCGTGACCAGGCGTGACCAGGCGTGACCATGCGTGACCAGGCGTGACCGTGCGTGACCAGGCGTGACCAGGCGTGACCAGGCGTGACCAGGCGTGGCCAGGCGTGACCAGGCGTGACCAGGCGTGACCAGGCGCGACCAGGCGTGACCAGGCGCGACCAGGCGTGACCAGGCGCGACCAGGCGTGACCAGGCGTGACCATGCCTGACCTGTATCTGGAGAGCAGCGGGTCCTCCATCATCTCCCGCAGCAGCACCCCATCTGTGAGAAACTTGATCTGAGTCACTCCCTGTGCAGCCAACGCAAAGTGGAAGGGAAGTGTAAGATGCGACAGGTACATACATGAAGCAGACTGTCGGGCATCACGCGAGTTCTGAGACTCCCAAAAACCCCTGTGCAGTGTAGCCAATGGAATTGGGAAAAATAAAGAATGGACATTCATAATGAAGCCCTCCTCGGACACAACGCGGTGGTGGATTGTATCCAGCCAATGGTGTTGTTCATTGTAGTGGTGGAGCGGAAGGGGGTGGAGGAGTTGCACAATTTACAGGAGAAAGGCCAATACGGAGACAGTGGGGAATCCGGGGGGAATGGCATGGGGCAGGGCACAACAACACATATACGCTGTGACGTGACGTGGAGTGCTGCAGACACGTTAAGTCAAGTCACGGCATGTTATCTACCTGTGTGGTGACATTCTCACAACGGATGCTGTATCCCACTCTCTCCCCCAAAGCCAAGCCCATCTCCTCCCTCACTCCGAGAACTCTAGAACGTGACTTCAATGTGGAGTGCAGACGCACACATAAAGTAAAAACGAGGCCAACCAGTCAGTTACCTGCGTGGTGACGTTCTCAAAGCGGATGCTGTAGCCCACTCTCTCCCCCAAAGCCACCCCCATCTCCTCCGCCACTCTGCTTGCCACCATCTGGCAAAAAAACGGGGAGAAACGGAACGAGGGAGAGGGAAGATCACTATTATGTCGACTCACCATCCCATCCGTCCCTGCAAGGGAGATGGGGGGTACGCGCGAGGGAGGTGATTTAGGGACCGTACAGCCCCTGCAAACAAGCAATTTCACACATGAACTCCCAAACCATGCTTGGGGCACGCCCAAATGAACTGAATACCCTCAATTCCACCTGACCCTCACCTGAGCCGCCACTCTTCTGGGCTGGGTACACGCGACCACTCGCCCTCCTGCCGCCCACCCTGCTTCCACCAGGTACTGCCAGACTCAGCAGTAATGAGAGGAGAGGAGGGTCGGTGGGAGAGTGTTGTGGAGGAGAGGAGGCTTGGGAAGTTGGGAAGGAGGGTCAGACGAACGGAGCAAAATTGTTAGAAGAACAAAGCATTGGAGGAGATGACAGGTGGAGACGGAATGCAATATTCATGAAGGTGGGGATGAGAAGCTTCTGCGTTATGGAATGGAATATAGCAAGGGAACGACAGCACCAGCTCCCACATGCACGTTCACGGTTCACCCCATCCGCTTTCATCACATCAACTCTTACCTTTCATAAGCCTTCACCTCATGTGCTCTCACCTGCGGGATCTGAGTGGCCTTGCCACTGCCTGTCTCCCCAACCACCACTGTGACGGCGTGAGTCTCCACTCCACCAGGTATAGGACCCCCTTCCTTTGCTTGAAATGACTGTTGGCTGACTCAAAACTCATCTGCTTTCACCTCATGTGCTTCACCTCACCTGCGGGATCTGAGTGGTCTTGCCACTGCCTGTCTCCCCAACCACCACTGTGGCGGCGTGAGTCTCCACCAGGTATAGAATCGCCTCCCTGTGGTTGAACACCGGTAGCTTCTCACGCCCACTCTGCACAAAGGGACTGATAGGGCGGATTGGAGAGGGGGAGAGTGTAAAGGGGACGGGATTTGGTAATCCCCATCACCACAGTTAGAACGTGAGTCTTTTCTCCATCAGGTACAAGATCGCCTCCCTGTGCTTGAACACCGGTAGCTTCTCACGCGCACTCTGCACAAACGGGCTGATAGGGAGGAATGGTGGGGAAGAGCAGAAGGCGGGAAGAGAGTGCGGGAAGGGAGACTGGTGAAATCCCATCCACCACACTGGCAGTGACAGCCTCCGGCAGAGAGACGATCCCCTCCTATCAAGGCGCCTAAAGAGAATCAAGAATCAATCAGAGAGACGATCCCCTCCTATCAAGGCGCCTAAAGAGAATCAAGAATCAATCAGAGAGACGATCCCCTCCTATCAAGGCGCCTAAAGAGAATCAAGAATCAATCAGAGAGACGATCCCCTCCTATCAAGGCGCCTAAAGAGAATCAAGAATCAATCAGAGAGACGATCCCCTCCTATCAAGGCGCCTAAAGAGAATCAAGAATCAATCAGAGAGACGATCCCCTCCTATCAAGGCGCCTAAAGAGAATCAAGAATCAATCAGAGAGACGATCCCCTCCTATCAAGGCGCCTAAAGAGAATCAAGAATCAATCAGAGAGACGATCCCCTCCTATCAAGGCGCCTAAAGAGAATCAAGAATCAATCAGAGAGACGATCCCCTCCTATCAAGGCGCCTAAAGAGAATCAAGAATCAATCAGAGAGACGATCCCCTCCTATCAAGGCGCCTAAAGAGAATCAAGAATCAATCAGAGAGACGATCCCCTCCTATCAAGGCGCCTAAAGAGAATCAAGAATCAATCAGAGAGACGATCCCCTCCTATCAAGGCGCCTAAAGAGAATCAAGAATCAATCAGAGAGACGATCCCCTCCTATCAAGGCGCCTAAAGAGAATCAAGAATCAATCAGAGAGACGATCCCCTCCTATCAAGGCGCCTAAAGAGAATCAAGAATCAATCAGAGAGACGATCCCCTCCTATCAAAGAGCCTAAAGAGAATCAAGAATCAATCAGAGAGACGATCCCCTCCTATCAAGGCGCCTAAAGAGAATCAAGAATCAATCAGAGAGACGATCCCCTCCTATCAAGGCGCCTAAAGAGAATCAAGAATCAATCAGAGAGACGATCCCCTCCTATCAAGGCGCCTAAAGAGAATCAAGAATCAATCAGAGAGACGATCCCCTCCTATCAAGGCGCCTAAAGAGAATCAAGAATCAATCAGAGAGACGATCCCCTCCTATCAAGGCGCCTAAAGAGAATCAAGAATCAATCAGAGAGACGATCCCCTCCTATCAAGGCGCCTAAAGAGAATCAAGAATCAATCAGAGAGACGATCCCCTCCTATCAAGGCGCCTAAAGAGAATCAAGAATCAATCAGAGAGACGATCCCCTCCTATCAAGGCGCCTAAAGAGAATCAAGAATCAATCAGAGAGACGATCCCCTCCTATCAAGGCGCCTAAAGAGAATCAAGAATCAATCAGAGAGACGATCCCCTCCTATCAAGGCGCCTAAAGAGAATCAAGAATCAATCAGAGAGACGATCCCCTCCTATCAAGGCGCCTAAAGAGAATCAAGAATCAATCAGAGAGACGATCCCCTCCTATCAAGGCGCCTAAAGAGAATCAAGAATCAATCAGAGAGACGATCCCCTCCTATCAAGGCGCCTAAAGAGAATCAAGAATCAATCAGAGAGACGATCCCCTCCTATCAAGGCGCCTAAAGAGAATCAAGAATCAATCAGAGAGACGATCCCCTCCTATCAAGGCGCCTAAAGAGAATCAAGAATCAATCAGAGAGACGATCCCCTCCTATCAAGGCGCCTAAAGAGAATCAAGAATCAATCAGAGAGACGATCCCCTCCTATCAAGGCGCCTAAAGAGAATCAAGAATCAATCAGAGAGACGATCCCCTCCTATCAAGGCGCCTAAAGAGAATCAAGAATCAATCAGAGAGACGATCCCCTCCTATCAAGGCGCCTAAAGAGAATCAAGAATCAATCAGAGAGACGATCCCCTCCTATCAAGGCGCCTAAAGAGAATCAAGAATCAATCAGAGAGACGATCCCCTCCTATCAAGGCGCCTAAAGAGAATCAAGAATCAATCAGAGAGACGATCCCCTCCTATCAAGGCGCCTAAAGAGAATCAAGAATCAATCAGAGAGACGATCCCCTCCTATCAAGGCGCCTAAAGAGAATCAAGAATCAATCAGAGAGACGATCCCCTCCTATCAAGGCGCCTAAAGAGAATCAAGAATCAATCAGAGAGACGATCCCCTCCTATCAAGGCGCCTAAAGAGAATCAAGAATCAATCAGAGAGACGATCCCCTCCTATCAAGGCGCCTAAAGAGAATCAAGAATCAATCAGAGAGACGATCCCCTCCTATCAAGGCGCCTAAAGAGAATCAAGAATCAATCAGAGAGACGATCCCCTCCTATCAAGGCGCCTAAAGAGAATCAAGAATCAATCAGAGAGACGATCCCCTCCTATCAAGGCGCCTAAAGAGAATCAAGAATCAATCAGAGAGACGATCCCCTCCTATCAAGGCGCCTAAAGAGAATCAAGAATCAATCAGAGAGACGATCCCCTCCTATCAAGGCGCCTAAAGAGAATCAAGAATCAATCAGAGAGACGATCCCCTCCTATCAAGGCGCCTAAAGAGAATCAAGAATCAATCAGAGAGACGATCCCCTCCTATCAAGGCGCCTAAAGAGAATCAAGAATCAATCAGAGAGACGATCCCCTCCTATCAAGGCGCCTAAAGAGAATCAAGAATCAATCAGAGAGACGATCCCCTCCTATCAAGGCGCCTAAAGAGAATCAAGAATCAATCAGAGAGACGATCCCCTCCTATCAAGGCGCCTAAAGAGAATCAAGAATCAATCAGAGAGACGATCCCCTCCTATCAAGGAGCCTAAAGAGAATCAAGAATCAATCAGAGAGACGATCCCCTCCTATCAAGGCGCCTAAAGAGAATCAAGAATCAATCAGAGAGACGATCCCCTCCTATCAAGGCGCCTAAAGAGAATCAAGAATCAATCAGAGAGACGATCCCCTCCTATCAAGGCGCCTAAAGAGAATCAAGAATCAATCAGAGAGACGATCCCCTCCTATCAAGGCGCCTAAAGAGAATCAAGAATCAATCAGAGAGACGATCCCCTCCTATCAAGGCGCCTAAAGAGAATCAAGAATCAATCAGAGAGACGATCCCCTCCTATCAAGGCGCCTAAAGAGAATCAAGAATCAATCAGAGAGACGATCCCCTCCTATCAAGGCGCCTAAAGAGAATCAAGAATCAATCAGAGAGACGATCCCCTCCTATCAAGGCGCCTAAAGAGAATCAAGAATCAATCAGAGAGACGATCCCCTCCTATCAAGGCGCCTAAAGAGAATCAAGAATCAATCAGAGAGACGATCCCCTCCTATCAAGGCGCCTAAAGAGAATCAAGAATCAATCAGAGAGACGATCCCCTCCTATCAAGGCGCCTAAAGAGAATCAAGAATCAATCAGAGAGACGATCCCCTCCTATCAAGGCGCCTAAAGAGAATCAAGAATCAATCAGAGAGACGATCCCCTCCTATCAAGGCGCCTAAAGAGAATCAAGAATCAATCAGAGAGACGATCCCCTCCTATCAAGGAGCCTAAAGAGAATCAAGAATCAATCAGAGAGACGATCCCCTCCTATCAAGGCGCCTAAAGAGAATCAAGAATCAATCAGAGAGACGATCCCCTCCTATCAAGGCGCCTAAAGAGAATCAAGAATCAATCAGAGAGACGATCCCCTCCTATCAAGGCGCCTAAAGAGAATCAAGAATCAATCAGAGAGACGATCCCCTCCTATCAAGGCGCCTAAAGAGAATCAAGAATCAATCAGAGAGACGATCCCCTCCTATCAAGGCGCCTAAAGAGAATCAAGAATCAATCAGAGAGACGATCCCCTCCTATCAAGGCGCCTAAAGAGAATCAAGAATCAATCAGAGAGACGATCCCCTCCTATCAAGGCGCCTAAAGAGAATCAAGAATCAATCAGAGAGACGATCCCCTCCTATCAAGGCGCCTAAAGAGAATCAAGAATCAATCAGAGAGACGATCCCCTCCTATCAAGGCGCCTAAAGAGAATCAAGAATCAATCAGAGAGACGATCCCCTCCTATCAAGGCGCCTAAAGAGAATCAAGAATCAATCAGAGAGACGATCCCCTCCTATCAAGGCGCCTAAAGAGAATCAAGAATCAATCAGAGAGACGATCCCCTCCTATCAAGGCGCCTAAAGAGAATCAAGAATCAATCAGAGAGACGATCCCCTCCTATCAAGGCGCCTAAAGAGAATCAAGAATCAATCAGAGAGACGATCCCCTCCTATCAAGGCGCCTAAAGAGAATCAAGAATCAATCAGAGAGACGATCCCCTCCTATCAAGGCGCCTAAAGAGAATCAAGAATCAATCAGAGAGACGATCCCCTCCTATCAAGGCGCCTAAAGAGAATCAAGAATCAATCAGAGAGACGATCCCCTCCTATCAAGGCGCCTAAAGAGAATCAAGAATCAATCAGAGAGACGATCCCCTCCTATCAAGGCGCCTAAAGAGAATCAAGAATCAATCAGAGAGACGATCCCCTCCTATCAAGGCGCCTAAAGAGAATCAAGAATCAATCAGAGAGACGATCCCCTCCTATCAAGGCGCCTAAAGAGAATCAAGAATCAATCAGAGAGACGATCCCCTCCTATCAAGGCGCCTAAAGAGAATCAAGAATCAATCAGAGAGACGATCCCCTCCTATCAAGGCGCCTAAAGAGAATCAAGAATCAATCAGAGAGACGATCCCCTCCTATCAAGGCGCCTAAAGAGAATCAAGAATCAATCAGAGAGACGATCCCCTCCTATCAAGGCGCCTAAAGAGAATCAAGAATCAATCAGAGAGACGATCCCCTCCTATCAAGGCGCCTAAAGAGAATCAAGAATCAATCAGAGAGACGATCCCCTCCTATCAAGGCGCCTAAAGAGAATCAAGAATCAATCAGAGAGACGATCCC